GACAATATGCACAGCTAGACTTGGTACTGATCATTCCTGTAAAGTTTGGATGAAATTGCACCAGTAGTTTATGAGGAGTAGTCCGGACAAGCTTTTGTGTATCTGGCAACACACAGAAAAAGAAACCTTTTTATCAAAGGGCCATAACTCGGCCAAAAATCATTCAACCGGAAAACCCGTGCAATATGCGCAAGGACTTGAGCTACAGATCAATCCTGTAAAGTTTCATTGAAATTGCATGAGTGGTATAAGAGAAGTAGTCCCGACAAACTTTAAAATTAAAAATTATTAAAGGGCCATAACTCTGACAAAAATCATTGAACTGGAAAATGCTGACAATATGCACAACTAGACTTGGTACTGATCATTCCTGTAAAGTTTGGATGAAATTGCACCAGTAGTTTATGAGGAGTAGTCCGCACAACTAGACTTGGTACTGATCATTCCTGTAAAGTTTGGATGAAATTGCACCAGTAGTTTATGAGGAGTAGTCCGGACAACTTTTGTGACGGACGGACGGACAGACAGACGGACAGACGACGGAGATTCAGAAGTGATCCCTATATGTCGCCACTACTCCGTAGAGGCGACACAAAAACAATGCCATCTTGACATATATAAAATTGGTCCCATTGTCAAAATGATACTTTTGTCCTAATTTACATCTGTGCCATGTTTGGTGCCTTTCCCTTTTTCTTAATTCAGGCATTTGGTGTTACAAATTGCCTGGACTCCCTATTCATATAAAGAGGGAACAAAATCAGGACAACAAGGAGTAAGCAGGATTCGAACTCACAATGGAGAGTAAGAAGTTTGAAGACAAGCAGCTTTATCACCTGGCCACGGACATGGATATAACCTGACAAGTTGTTTCAAAATGTATGTAATGATACTGAAATGGGAAGAGGATGAATGATTTGGTATATCTCATTAGACAGGGCTTTAGCTAGTTAATTCATCAAGTAGTCTAAGATATCTTACAAACAGAAGTTATCTAAACATGCAAGAAAAATAAAGAATCTTCATATTTACCCTACACTTCCGGTGAAGTTTATTCCCGCTAAATCTGGTGAAGCAGTTACCGTATCGCCAAACACCGGTCCATCAGCCGGTATAAAGTTGATCACACCAGCAGGAAGACCGGCTTCTCTGTAAATCTCATATACTGTATAGTTTGATAACATGGCTGTATCAGATGGCTTCCACAGGCTTACATTTCCCTGTATACAATCAATTATATACAGATTAACAGTTATTTCTTGTTATAAACATTTCAGTATGCTGCATAGAGGATATTGAATGAGCGAAAAGTTTAATACTGAATTTATTGAACGAGTTGAATAAAATTATATTATGCAAGCCTCTGGCAAAACTAAATGTATAGACAAGTTATTAGAAAAGGTCACAAAATCTATGTCTCAGCAACCTTGAAGTTGAACTCTTTCAAACAATTTCAAGGGTAGGCATTCATCCATGGTAACTAAATACAAGTCTATAAATTAGATATTTGACAAACAAGACAACAATGCTTGTCTGTTAAAAATTTTACACTTTGAAGGGGCATATCTCATAAAACTTATTTTGGGCAAAAAATTGAATAAAGGGCTATGATAAAGTTTTTGCATGGGCTATTTTGGTAGACAATAACGTACCATTAAAGCTGGTGCTGCTGGTAGATGCCCTCCTATAGCTGTAAAGTTGAACGGTGTAACAGCTGCCCAAAATCCCTGAAAATAAAAACAGTGATTACAATATAAGTTTGTCGTTTATTATGGCAAACTGTAATACTCTCTTGTTCTATGGACACAAAAATTAAATATACATTTTTATCAACATATAATAGGTATTTTTAAAATGAACAAAATATTTTTTTATAATATTACAAAGTACACATGAAGTATTGTTATGCATTTCAGGTAAGACAAAACTAACATATTAATTTTGGTCTTTTTTTGAACAGGAAAAAATAAAACATACACTACCCATTTTCGATGAGAAATAATATATCAATTTTTTTGGCAAGTAAAGAATTAACTTTTCTTCATCTGACTTATTAGTATGCCTCTATTATTAATTCATAATTGAAGAAAAAAATACTAGTATGTCCATATTCTTTAAGTATAGGTTAAAGTACATATTTACAAAATAAATTGGTCAGCCACGGTGCAGCCTCGTGACTAAATTAATTTTGTAAATACGTACTAATAAATTTTAACCAGCTTAGTGTTTTAAATTAGTTTCATAAACAGTTGATTTACTTGACTGATTAACAGTTTGCCGATTTACTAAAATAAATGTGTTTCGATTCGTTTGAAATACTGCAATCCTATTGGACAAAAAATAATTTTATATACTAATAACTGTAAACATTTTAAGTTCATATTAATGTTGATAACTTCTTGAATATAATAATAATTAATTAGATGTATTAAAGTACCTCAACACCTCTGTATCTAACTGTGTTTGTCTCTTCTGGGCTAGGACTAAGTGGCTGGTATTTTGTTAACTCCTGGGGAAAAAATATAAGAAAGTTGTTTCTTTTTATGCATCAAATAAAATACATTTCATGTTTAAATAACTGTTATTTTCATATTTACCTTATGAACAAGTTAACAAAAACGTTAATTTATTATATACTTACAAATGAAATATTGGGAAATATTGATGAAATAAAATGCGTACTTTCATTTTCCGTATTTTCACTGTAAAAATTTATTTTTCACTGCAGTGAAACATATTTTCCGTATTTTCACTGGTGTCTTGCCGGACTACTTTCTTTTAAATTCTGCCAGTACACAAAATTTAAGGGAAAGTCTTTCAAATTTTAATGTCAAAAAAGAGAAAAATGTATATAATAAACAGAAAATTCAAGTTTTTTCTATAAATTCATGATTTATTTTCATCTTGTGGCATGAAAATTACCATATTTCACTTGTGGCTACCGCCACTCATGAAATATTTTATTTTCATACCACTCGATGAAAATAAATCATGTATTTACAGACAAAACTTGAATATCCTCTATATATGTTTTCTATCTCTGCAACAATTGTCAATATACATAAAAATGTGCGTGTTTGTCATTGTATTTTCCCCCCTGTTAATAAGCATTGAAATGTGTGTTTGTACAGGTGAATTTGGTTGTCCCATTATTTGTTTATTTTACCTAAAAAAATTTTTGTTATATATCTCATATCAAGGAAATCAATCCACTTAACTGGCTTATCTATATAACTTACCAGTAATTATATATTTCTTCATAAGTGACCTCCTGAATCAGCAGAGAGAAAGAAACAACCATTTGACTCATCAGGGGCGTAGCTAGGGCATGAAAAAATATACGCAAAGCGAGGCACGAAGTGCCAAGAGGGGGAGCGTGAGGGAGGGTGTGTCCCCCTCCCGCTGGTGGGGGTACGGGGGGTCTCCCCCGGAAATTTTGAAAAATTATATGTTAAATTGTGGGCTCTGGCATGTCTTGAAGCACCTTTTGCACGTAAAGCATGAAGCATTTTCAAGTCATTTTTTCCCCATAAATTGATAAACATATAGCTGCTTGTTTTACTTTCTAACTTTTTTCATTATAACTTTGTACAGATTTGTAAAGAAAAAGGCAGTGTACGCCTTGTAGTTTTCTTATCTTACACGTGCATATAAACATACACAAACATTTTTCGATGTGAAGTTTAATTAAGGATGCAGATCATGAAATTGGTTTATGTATGAATGCCCGTTCAAATGTAAAACGCATTTATCAGATAACAAGTTTTTTTTTAGCATTTCTCGTCAAATCAGTTTGGTGAGAACGGCTTATCTCTTAAGCCTTCAGTCTTATTTATCCAAGTGTATGAATTATTTCCAAATGCACAAGAAAAATTATACTCTGAGAACACTTCTATTCCATCGTAAGAAAGTACGGAAATTACCAGATACAACGAGATATTAAATGGTCTAATGATCACTCTATAGGTCTCCTCAGGCGGTGATGAGAAAGTAACGGACTTACTCATAGATATATTTTGTTGCCCACAAAAAATATGGCCGGCTCTTGTGATGGAATTCATGTGTTCTTTTGAGTTTGTGTGCCGATTAACGACTTTTCTTGCGTTGCTCCAGTCAATCAACGGACGAGCAAAAACCACATTTTCAGCTGCATTAAAGGCGAAACATGGAGCACAAAATACCCCATCAAATAAAAGGATGTACCTTAAGTAGATGGGTGCTTTTTTCGAGTTCTCTGAGAGGTGCAACCCAACCTGTATGTGGCTCGAACCGTTCGGCGAGGACTACATTTTTTTAGAATCTGGCATTCTTAGTCGGCTTCTGATATTAATACTTCCGATATCCAGGAATTGTGCTCCCAGGGAGCTTCTAGAGGTTGTCGAGGGGAGAAGAAGCAGGGGGAGACAAAGAGGTGAAGGTGGGCGGAGAAGAAGGGGGAGAAGGAGGCACGACATAGTTGTCTGATTTGCTGATCACAGGAGGGTCACATGCCAGGTCTTGTGAATTCTTTTTAGTTTCTACCTGGTCAGATTCATTATCGACTTGAATAGGGTCCTGTTTTAGGACCATAAAAAGGGTCGCTTGTCCTGGAATTTGGCGGCTGTTTCTATTCATTTTGACAACTAATTACACACCAAAAATTAAATTTTGCCCCAAGTTGATGATTTTTAAAATCTTGATCTAGACCTTAAAAGATTTAAAGTCGTTTTAAAAAAGAGCTATTCCAAAGGAAACGATTTAGAAAGGATTGGTCTAAATCTTTAAGAAAAGTCTTAATAATCTTTATTTTCTGAGAATTTAACCAACGATAAGTTATTATGAGCCTAGTTTGTAGATAAATTAATGCTGAGCTTTTCATTTATCTCTGTGCAATAAGTTTGTAAATGCTTCGAGTTAACGAAAAACTTAAATTTCTATTGCACATATATAACGATAATTACTAGAAATGTCATACGATAGAGTGACGCAATCATAGTTTACACTTTGTAGTAAACAGTATGACGCCTGAAATGGAGATCTAAATCTATTGCGATAAAACCATTAAAACTTAGATTTTCTCAACCTTCTTTTTTTACCTTCGGAATTTTTTATACGCAATTGCGTATTGTGCGTAATGGAAGCTACGCCCTTGCTCATGGTGGTAATCAATTGTCACAGAGAAATATCAGCCCCGCCCAAGGATCAAACTGAAGATCCCGGCTTCCTATTCTAAGTCTCTCTCTATAAAGCCAAGTCGACTGACATTATTGTCATAGAAATTCTGACAGAATGTTTTATCAATCACCAGCTAGTGTGTACCCTTACATTTTACTTGACTATTTGTCTCCATAAATTTAACATTATCTTAATTTGTTACATAACCTAGGATGTCTCTAGCTTTACTTACAAGTTTAGGAAAACCTCTGGGATATCTCTAAACTCAAGATGTAAACCACACAAAAGAGAATAACATGGTTTGTTATACTTACTCTAGCAAATTGTACATTAAATCTGAGGAAATCTATCAATTCAGCTGCAGCATCTATTTCAGCTTGCCAAATGTTCTTTGCCTGAAAAATATGTTCAAAAAATAATCATACCATTCAAACAACACTAACCTATTTCAGCCTTTGCCTTGTTATTTTTTTCTTTTTCTTTTTTTCTTTTCTTTTTATGGGTTTTATGTCGCATTAAAACAGTAAAGGTCATATGGCAACGTTCCAGCTTTACTGGTAGAAGAAGACCTCAGGTGCCCTTCAATGCATTATTTCAGGCACAAACAAGCAGCTGAGTAGAGAAATACCGACAATCTGTAAGCTAGCTGGATTGCTTCCTCACATGAAAGAATCTAAAGTCCCTATTGGGATTCAAACCCACAGTAGTGAGGGGCAAATGTTTTGAAGACCACTTGTTCACCAACGGCCCTCCTTACCTTGTTATATAGGCTTCTCAAGGAATTATATGTATCCAATTTTAAACTTGGAACATAAAATTACTAAAACTGAGCAAAATGTCAAGACTGCCTTCTCTATGCTGAATGCAAAGGCCTGTAATTATTGTTGCTAGGACTTAAAATGAGTACTAATATAAACACACATTATATTCATAAATATGGCTCTGTCACTTTGCCCATATCTTAAGCTGGGTGAAACACATTTTCTCATATCTGAGCATTAAGTCCGCCTATTTGGCTTTACTGGGTAACTAACCATTAATTACCAATTTCTCAACATGTGACTGACAACTAAACCAATATGATTTCTGACTCAATGTTTATGATCCACAGTTACAGAGCAATTTCACCTTACCCGAGGATCAAACTAGCAACTCCTGGATTCAACCCCTGGTATCAAATCCGATACTCTCCCTATTGAGCTAATTGGGCAGATTTGAACAATTCTCAAGTAAGATTCCTTGAACTAATCAATTCCAATGTCATGTTAGGAAACATAACCCTGGTTGTGTATGGATCAAAGACACAGTAAACAGGCAGACACTTTAACCAATAGGCCATTTTTAATGTCCAAAATTTATGCTATTCATACCTGACCCAGCATAGTTGTGGCTAAAAGGTCATATCTGTATTTGGTTGCCATTAGTTCAGCTGCTCTAGCGAAGATTTCTGCTCTCTTCTCTAGCGGTGTTCTCTCCCAAGCTTTCCTAGCTGCTAAACTGTTAGCTATACCTTTGTTGACAATGTCCTAAAAATATAACATTGAACAATGTCCTAAAACTATAACATCAAACTAGAAGTTGGTTGACTGATCAATGTTAAAGACTTAGTCAGTCTTAACAAAATTTTAGAAATTAAGTACTATAACTACAAGCAAACACTATAAAAATGTCATTATTTATTTATATAAGCAGACACTATATGTAATTCTGGTAAAACTTGAAATGTGTCTAATGCTTAGGACATGGATGGCCATACATTTGACAGTTTTTAAAGTCTAAAGTTGGACATAAAACCTTACAGCTGGATGAATAGACATTACATGACAAAAGGGAAAATCTTTATGCTATACCTACCCATGTAGTGTAGTTATGAATATTTCTTTTTTCAAGCAACAACATTGTAAGGTATTAAGATGATGGTTTACTGATGCTGCTACTCCATCTATTATTTCAGACATATGACAGGAAAACTATTCTTCAATAAGCAAGTTGAATAGCTTTGTTATATGAAAGATCTCGCAGAGCGATCAGGAACCAAGGGACGAGTCACTGATATGAAGCAATTTTTGTATGAATATATGTATGTAACTATACTTTATAATGATGTGATAAAATTTCTCATCAATCTTAAAAGTGAGCACCACTCGGGTTTCAAATATTCATATATACAATTTAATTTGCTTACCTTTGTTGCATATGAAAAAGTGGCTATTTTTCTGTGATGGTCAAATGGCTGAAATGATAAAAATAGTAAATACATTCTCTTGAAATTATGTTATCATTGCTTGCAAAATGGCAAATCATATATCAAGTGTATGTATCTTTAAGCAACTCTCCCATGCACATGGTGGTTTGTGTGTCATCATAAGATAACAATGCACCATGGGTAAATATATTTACATGAAACTAGAAAACTTAAGACGATGTGCTCCCAGAAATACCTGCTAAATAAAATGTGTGCCCTTTATCATGCTACATGTATGATTTTAATTCTATCAAAATATAACAAATCTACACCCAAGTCCTTTTTTATGTGATTTTATAAACAAAACTTATTTGGTACATTCAGTGCTTCTTTTTTCTTTAAAAGACATGGTAGCAAGGCACATTAAGAGGGAAAATTGTGTCGTCAAGAGAAAAAAGGGAAATTAAGAAGCAGATATAAAACAGTCCAAATTAATGCTTTGACATTACCATTATCTCTTTATAATACAATGCCCCGCTCTGTTCCTATTGTTGTGATAAAGAGGATTATTATTTTTATTACTTTTGAGGTGAATCTTCTTAGAAATAGTGGGAAAATTAAAATACTCTTTTGAGAGGGGAATACATTGTAGTGCCCTAAAAGGCCTGCAAATAGCACTACCATTAATATTAATTACTTATTTAAACAAAATAAAACTGTTCAAAACATGAGTTACTTTGCTGCCATAGCATATAAACTTGTTTAAAGCAGTAACTTTATCAAAAAAATTCAAAATATTCAAGGGAGTAATTCCATAATTTAAATAAATACTATATAATATAATAAAAATTAACATTTTGCAACAGCAAAATTAGACAAATCTCAGTCCAATACTAAATATTAAACCTATTTAAGAACTTACACAAACTTGACTGTGAACATCTTTAGTGCGAATCTCTTCATCACCTATCACAATTGGAATATCTCTGACTTTACCATCATAACTTTTTATCTTGTCTTCAAGGAGTTGTCTTTCCTTGGTTCCAGGAGCATATGTTGGCATTGGTTCATTTTTGGCCACATATGTATCAAAGTTAAAGGCCCCTGATGACAAACCCCTTACATATACAAGATTTCTGAAACAAAAAAGAGATTACAGAAATTTACTTCAGCTTGTAAAAGGCATACTATGCCTCAAATATAAATTATTCTTTAAAAAGGTCTCACATGTGTTTAATAATTTAAAATTATGCTTTAATAATTGATTTAGAGCAATTGTTAAACGTTTAACAACTGATGAAAGTAGCCCTGTATGTTCAGTAATGGGTAGTAAAGGTAGCAAAAATGTAAAGAAAGTAGTATTATGTCTATCATACAAAATACTTAATCACTATAATTATGCTAATTGCTATAGAGCAAAAGAAGCAAATGATGGCTTAGCTATAATTGGCCAATGTCAGAGTAACTTTTCTGAAAACTGTAACAGGATAAAGAAATAAAAAAGTTTTTGAGAAATAAAAATGATAGCATTTCATTGAATAAATGGGCCTTTTAAATCCTGCAAACTAAGTGTAATGGCATTCTGCAAACTCAGTGTAGTGTAATGACCTCGCTGAGTTTTTTAATAGTCTGAACAGTCCATTATAATTGTGAGGGATTTCTATATCAAAATGATAAAATCAAACAGCAAAAGAACAGTCAAGTCAATAAGACTTCACATAATATACAGACTGGCCTAACTCAATGCTAATGGCATATTTTTACCAAATTTTGATTCGTTTCAGCTGCAAGGGTTTAAAATAATGTGTTCATGGCATCTGTTGAGAAGTGCATATCAATCAAAACAACTATCAGAAATATTATGCAGAAATACCATTTATATCCTCAACTTCCTTTACATATTCAAAGTGAATTAATCACATACAGCAGCTGTTGGTTCAAATCCCATCAAGCTTAATTCAGCTATATCTATTACTTTAAATAAATTAATTGAAGTTGCTACATGACTTCAATCTTCTGAGATATATATGAGCCGCGTCATGACAAAAACAACATAATGGGTTTGCGACCAGCATGGATCCAGACCAGCCTGCGCATCAGCGCAGTCTGATCAGGATCCATGCTGTTCGCTTACCAACCCTACTACAAATAGAGAAACTGATAGCGAACAGCATGGATCCTGATCAGACTGGTCTGGATCCATGCTAGTCGCAAACCCATTATGTTGGTTTTGTCAAGACGCGGCTCATATATAGGCTGTAAAAATAGCACTGACATTAATATAGTTAATTTAAATTACATGTAATTTTATAAACATAATAATACTGTTCAAAACATCATCAGTTACTTTGCTATCATAGCGCTTTTTGTAACAACACATGTTCAAAAATGTAGCTTTATTAGTTTATTAAAAATGTTCAAATAATCAAGAGTAATTTAGTAATTTAAACATATTCTATATGATATCATAAAAATTAAAATTCTGTTCATTATGACATCATATTTTAATACTGAAATCCCTGATACTTTTGACAAGACTGGTCAATTTAATTGAAAGCTAGGTAAATCCATTTGACAAGGTCAGCAGGTAAAATGGTTAAAAAGCAGTCTTCTAGTTTATGACATCTTACAGGTTCAAGTTACTCATTTATAACAAAAACTGTTATTCTAAAATATACAATTATTCAAAAATAAAGTGATATGGGTATTATAATAATGAATGAAATCGGATCTTTATTCACATTATTTATTCACTAAACAGTTTTTTCAAGAAGAAAATGAAGATGATATGTACATTTGTATATATATTAAACAGACATGATACAGCCTGTACGAAAAATCAGCATGGTTTTTATGAAAAACAGGACCGATTCAGGCCTGTTTTGAACCAGAATTGGCAAAATCAGGGTGAAATAGACATGGACCCTGAATTTTCAAGAAATCTCACATGGGAATTCAGGTTTTTTCTACCCTGACATTGTCTTCATTTTGGTAAAAGTCAGGGTGGAAGCAGGAATATTTGCACTTTGAAAATATTTTGACACCGATTTTACTGACTTGGAGAAATATAAACAAAATCTACCCAGATATTTCAATGTTAGAAAATTTTCAAGAACCAGTTTCAATACAGTCTTAAAAGTTCTTCATTTCCAGCCTGATTTTTCTTAGAGTTATTAGAAATGAATATTGTAATACACTATTAGTACAGTTTACATTGTTGTTCAGATAAAATTGAATTTTTAGTTCAGAAGAAAATATATTATAATGTCTTTTTCTGGAAAGTTTCAGTTGATTTATGGTAAACTCCATTTAACAAAAAATCTTTTCATTTACTGAATTATTCTTTGTTTTTGTTTTTTTTTTAAATTATGTAGATTATTTAGCTCAACATGATTTATTGTTATCTATAAAATTGATAATTGTCACTGGTAATTGATTGTATTTATATTTAACTTATGATAAAAAAATATTATTTAATGCATTAATTGGTCAGCAATAAGTAATGTACAAGATTTTTAGTTTATATCCATCATCTCACAATCTGTACAGAATCTCCTACTTCTAAGGTCAGCTTTCAGTTTATATAAACAAATAACCTTCAAGTGGAACTTTTTGCAGTATTTCAAAATACTATATGTTAAACTGGGCTATCTGGCAGATGAAAATAGAGAAGTTACCACAAATTGACTGACATCCAGAGCAAATATCACACCCTGAAAATTATTTCCAGCATGGTCATTTTCTTTAGAAAGATTGGAGGCTTTAGTTGTGATTTTAATTCAAATAAATCAACTTACAATTATATATTAATACATAAATGAGTTTTGATAATTACATAGAAAATGAGATTTGAGAATTCAACAACCCCAGCTATACAGAACTTTCTTGGGAAATTTATTGTGAAATTTATATATAACATGGAGCATAATAGATGTGTTAAACTTCGTTATTCAATTTGAAAAAATGGAGGGAGATATTAAGCAGGCAATTGTAACAGATAAATGGTAAGTTATAATTGAATTACAGTTCTTAATATTTTTAATTTTTCATAAAATTATGAATTCTGTAAGCTCATTATTCAAAAAAGATTTTAAATAACTTTCGAAGAAACCTGTTTTAAAATATGGAGGGAAAATGAAATCATTCTTAATTTTTCTAAATAAGCTATACATTGTGATCATTCCATTTTAGAAAAAAAAAACTGAAGTCTTAAAATTAAAATGTAATAAAAATTATGACATGATTGCATATTTGTTTTTTTCAACTTCCAAAATTTAGGTTGAAGCCAAATAGCTCAGTAACATGTGACAAGAGGATGAAGAAGATGAAAATGGTGTAGTTGGAACAAAAGAATACAATAGAAGAAATATTACTGGTAATTTTTAATTTTTTCATTTTCTATTAAAATTAGTTTCAGTTTTAATTATTAAAAGTATTCATTCAGGCAAATTTTATAGAATTATTGACTTCATAAAGTCAGTGCATATATGTTTATAATGCTGTAGCTTCTTTAAAATAATTTCATCAATCATTTGTTCTTTTGATGTTTTGATTGCAATTAATGAAATATTTTATTATTATACCTTTAAAACTATATTAAGGTGTTACATTTTCTTTTAGATTAATATATAAATTGAAAGTTGACTATAGCATATTCCTACACTGCTTTCATATGTTTACAGATTGTGTAGTCCAGAGACTATAGTGTGGAATTATGTAATACAGTGTGCAGCTACCTGGAAATATCAAACAAGAATGACATTTGAAATGTATTTAATTGTATAAAAATCAAATACAGAGAAGTGAAAAAAAAATCTCAATTATTATCTTGTCAAATATCAAAAAGAACAGGAATCTGGGTGGATTTTTATTTTAATTTCAGGGTGGGATTTGCAAAATATTGGGGCGGGATAATAACAGGAGGAAAAAAGTCTGTCCTGACTTTTTAAACAGAAATCAGGGTGAATTCATAATGGCTCATTTAAATATTTCAAATTAATCCCACCCTGAAATTGCTCTTAATTTAACTAGAAGTAAATCTATTTTTAGAAATCTGTGTGAATGAAAATTCTGCCCTGGATTTCTATTTCGGGGTGGTATTTTTTCTGGCTCATTTAAATATTTCGTTGAATCCACCCTGAAAACACTATATATTGTATACTACAAAATCTAAAAATAGATTTCTGTCTCCTCTAAAGTCCACTGAATAGCTTAAAAATCCTGGCTGGGAATATATTTCTGATCCCATGTCAAATCAGGGTGTAGTCAGGGTAGGCATTTTCGTACAGGAGTCATGGGCCAACTATATGTGTAATATAATTACTTATATGGTAAAGTTAAATTAAGTTTTCACAAGGATATGTTACTGTACTAATATTTAGTTTATAATTTATTCATTTATACTTATTTTTGTTGAATCTCTTCTCATTTATATGGTATCTTAAAGTAATGATACTTATATCCTAGAGCTGTTTTTTCTATACATTGTAAAAATAATTGTTACTTTAAACTTCTATACCTTGTAAAATAATTGTTACTTTAAACTTTTGTGTATGAAATTCCATCAAGAAGTTGAAAGTTTTATCTGATATACAAAATTTACCCTTTCTGAAGAATACTTCATCTCAAAGTTGTAACAAATAGCTGGTACTTCCAGATCTTTCAAAACCTTTAAGTGCTTAATATTAATTTCAGCTTGATATTCAAAATGTACTCTTGAAATAAAATTGACTAAAGAAGAAATAGTGCAACAGCCTTTCAGAGGGCCAATATACAATTTAGATACTAGTACATCTTATTTATGGGTCGAGAGCAAATAAATGTTGTTTCTTCTTTATTTTATAGTAATCTTTTCTTTCAGATAAGATTCACTTGAAATGCAACATTATCTTCAAATTTAAAATACTACAATAAAAGCTGAAAGCTGGAGATTTAAAGGGTATACTTTTGCTAAAAGTAAGAGTGCACGGGGAGGGGGGAGGGTGTAATATTCCCTTAGAGATATATGCCACAAAAATGGCTGGAAAACAAAACAACAATTAATGTAAATCCCCATTTAAGTCATATTTAATTAATATGCTTATTTATAAAGTATAAATTTATAAATATTTTAACTGATGAAACATTTAGCCCTAAGGTTTTAACCAATATAAAACTAAGAGGTTTAAAAGGCATGGTAATGACCGTAATCAAACCTTTACAGGGTACAGACATCCAATGCCAAAATTCAAAGACTTTTTAAGCACTATTTAAGCATGTTTTCCCATTTTTCAAGCACATTTGTTGCACATATACATGTACCAACACAATCTTCAACCTATTATGGATAGTTTGTTCACCATTTTTTGTTGAATACACATTTTCTGACATTATAGAAGAACAACAAAGGGTGCATCAAATACAGATTAGTTCAAAACAACTGCAATTTGTCCACTTACTGTTACCTTGAGTAAACATTTCATTGATTTTGATACTAAATTTGATCTTTTTTTTATTTTGTTAACCGTTGATTTTTATCAAAACAATGTCATTCTGTGATTCAAACATTTTCAAGCACATTTTAGCAATTTAAGCACTTTTGAAGCACTTTTCAAGAGAGTTATCAAATTCAAGGACTTTTAAGCACTTTTTTACATTTTTAAGCACTTTTTAAGAAAGAGACTCAAATTTAAGCACTTTTTAAGACTGTACGAACCCTGCTTTGGCATTTTCAGCAAACTGCATTGTAACAAACCCTCGCCCTTTCCAGCCCAAATCTCGGATCATTTAAAAACCAGTAGCAAGTTATTCTGTTTTTATATGCCACGCTAATTTCCAGTCCAAATTGAATGACTTGACAGTTTCAAGCACAAAATATTACTAAGTACAGGTTTTTTAACATTGTGACCCAAGCAAATTGCTCCAATTGTTACCCAAGATTTTTGTTGCAGATAGATTAACCACTATAATCCACTAGTCCACCTGACCAATTCCTTACAAAAAATTCAGCAAATCAGAAAATTTTAAAGCTAGTAAAAATTAACTTTTACAACAATTGTGTAATTTGTATTACTAGTATCTATTAGGAAAAATTAATATCTAAAATTACAAAAACATATTATCATACACATTCCTAAACTTTATTTCTTTTTAATAACAATTAGTTTCTAAAGCTCAAGACTTATTGAAAACAGTGATCTAAACAAAGACTTTTTATGCTTTTTAAAATCTACTATCTTCAGGGTTTTTCATTATCAACACATTGGCGATTTGTATCATCGGATGAAAAGCTGTTAAAATCAGTTATATTTTCAGCTTGTAGATTAAAATATCTCCCTTGACCCAATTAGCTGAATTGGTTGTTTACGTTGGCACATATATTGCCTCAGATAAAAATGAAAACCCTGCGTCCTAATGACTGTAAAGGAGTGAAAAAATTAACATGAATGTAACATTAGAATAGACTTACTCTGGAACTAGGAACAAAATATGTGTTTTTTGTACTTAATCCTGCAGTACAAACAAACTTTCACATAAAATTATACAACTTTGAAAATAAGCACACCATGCTGACTTATTGTTAGTGAACGAAGCTACTGATTGCTATGATAATAAATAAGTTTGTTTGTTAAATAAGGGAATAGCTTGGAAACACCAACACTTCCCAGACTTCCTGATAACAGCTATTATAGGGTCTTTTCTCTTCTGTAGCAGGGGACATTTACATGCTCATTTGGAATCCAAATAGAATTTATAATCAGATTCATACTCGAAACAGATGAGTTCTTGTGTCAAATAAATAGATACCCAAGCAATGTTCAAATTCAAAATCCAAAGGGTTTGTGGCAAATACTTTAAAATCACAAACTTTTACGATGTCGTTCAATTTACATATGAGTTTTTTCCTTCCCCATTTGCAAAAATACTATCTAAGTTATATGTTCCCAAATTTCAAGGCACATTTACCCCTCAGAAAAAAATAATTATTTTGTTCTGATGAAAGGTCATATACATGAGTTTTATTATGTTTAAATAATGGCTTTATATATTAGAAGCTAAAATATCACCTGAGAATATGAAATCATTTTCGGGCCCGGGCTTTGGCATGCCTGGCTTATAATAGACTACATGTGTTAATATTTAAAGGAAATCAAATAAGAAACAATTAAAAAATATATAGAATGCTATACCTATCAATGAAATTTTCAGTGTCAGTTCTAGTTGGCTGCCACCATTTACAATGTAACTCAATGAAAATAGGCGAGGTATTCCGATAACGGAACAAATCTCAACTTTTTGGATTCATAATAATCGTCGAGTGTTCTGAATGACACCTTTAGAACAGAAAAATGTAAAAAACTTTTTTAACGACTTCCCCGTTCATAGGCTTTGCCTAATTTCATATTATACAAGTTTTACTTCTGAAATATAGCAGAGACATAGATTATTATGTTATATATGTCTCTGAATATATACATAGAGCTGAGGTCCAATCCAGGAGATTGCCTTTTTTCTACACCACAATTTAATACAAAGTCCTGAATGCAATAGGCCTACACGTAAAACTTCATAACTCTTTTCGAAATCACCTGTACATAAGAAAATATTAAATAAAGATATAAAATTCGTATCACCGATATCAAGTTTCAAACTTTTTTAAATTTGAACACATATGAACTGATGAATGGCAAAACAACCGGGTGGGGTATTTTCAATCATGATACAAAGTTAATAAAACATTTTTGAACTATTTTGATAATTGCATTCATTGTTATTGTCAATAAAATCATAAAAATACTTACAAAGTTCGGCTGACAGCACGGGAATTTCTTGCCAGAAACATTTTTACGTCTAATTTGTGCACGAGTCGTTTCTGTTTGACAGGGTCAAGGTTGATACAGAGGTGTGCGCAGTGTCAACCAATCAAAATAAACATTGCAACAGACTACACCCCGTCTAAACCCGTAACTTATTGTTACGGGAGCTGAGTTAACTTACCGACGTCGTTTTCCGTATTAATATTTTGTACACATCTGTATTGACACACATCAGGGAGTTCTACATCCTGTAATAAAAGCCTCTGCTAAACAGACCAATGCAATATTTGTCTTAATTATATAAAGGTATAAGAAAATGTAAACAATGACACACCAAGCAGTGTCGATTCATCACTGTCATTCTGATCCATTAAATTGATAAATGTGTAAATTTATCCTTGAAACAAAATAATCCTATGTTATGTCACCATAAAATTTCGGACTTTTTCATTATTTACATTTGTAGATGGTTTATGCAAACTTATCGAAAATTATATACATGGAAAAAGGTTTCAACCTATATAATGGTTTGAAAATTTGAAACTATTGAATAAAATAACGCGTCATCGAAAATATAATCATCAAAAATTTACATGCTGGCAATAATATATCAAAACCTTTTCATAATTTGCAATATATATATTCTGTAATTGTATATTATATAAAAAGTTCATCTATCTTTGACTATTCATCATCAATGGAAGTGTCAATAACATTTTATGTACTCATGATCATTGCGTTTAATATTAAACTCTTATTATCTCTTTTTTCTAAATATGTGTGTAAATCTCAGCACATTAGAGGACAACCGCCAGATGCGTCTCATTTAGTAATTCTGCGTTTCGTTATTTGCTTTTCGTAAAAATAACACCGTTTCGTCATTATTTTCTCGTGCACGTGCGACATCGCTTGAAAGTTACTGTTATCTTTTTATTCTTGTTTGTGTTCATGCGTTCGTGCGCGAGCGCGCGTGTGTCTGGAGAGGGGATGCAGGAAGCATTATACCATCACTTAATGATAACACATATCATGTCTAATATTTATCAGTTGTTTGTGTATCGCTGAGAGTGATACTGTAGATAATAAATAGATTAATATATTTACAATGTATGAATGAGATAAATTGATAGAATGTTACCCTTTCCGATGTGTGTTATTTCTTTTTTGGATATATTCAGTAAGTATTATGTTATTAATTCGTAAATGGCCGATGAAAAAAAAAGTTCATGTTTTATTGACATATTATCAAGAACTTTATTTAACTTAATCATTTATCTCATTTCATTTAATTTATCTACTTTTAAGTTTACTTTCTGTCGGGTAGTCATCTTAATTGACACGATTTTGATTATCATGCTATGTTTTGGGATCGTGCGCCGCTTCCTTGGAATGGCACGAAACTGACACTTCGAAGGTTCCATGGTCACTGCCGTAAGAAAAAAAACACCTGCAGATGATTTAAAAATTTTAATTATCAATAACGTTTATGTTTAATTGTTGGGTTCTGCTCAATCAAGTCGGTGTTATGTGGCGTGGGCAATAGATTGCTTTAACAATTGTACTTATATCATTAATGCTCAGATCTAACGAAACCAAGCCTGCAACGCATTAAATTCCACCCTTTAGTGTGTGCGAGGAGTGTTCATGTTTTCCTTTTTTTCTATTTCGAACCAAGTGGCGAGTTTGTTATCATAAAGCTGTATAATGAATAGTGTTCAATCACCGATAGGAACTTTGTATCCTTATATTTAAGGCAGCTTTCCAGCGCATTCAAAGATATGAACATGACATTGTATGCACACATATGACGTCCAGCTGCACGAGTGTTATAATTATGCACAATTGAAAATGTACTGTAGTTAGTACAGCATGATATTTCATTTTCAGCGACATGAGATACACTATACAGAAAATTGCTCAAGACAGATAGTGAGATCCTTGACAGTTAAAAGAAGTAACAAAGCTGTAACACAAACATGTTTTCTATTACATGTCATGGTACTAATGGTACTAGTTATAAATTAGACGACAAGGCATACGCAGCGGCTGTGATAATGTCTACTTGTAGTTGTAGTCTATCTATTATAGCTTCTTTTATGATATTTGGCTCATATATATTTATACCGCTAATTCGGAATTCTACAAGGAAGCTCGTCACGTGCCTTACTGTTGCAGACTTCTTGACAGCTGTGGGTAAATGTCATTTGTTTTCTTATAATAATGTTGATAACGTTGTAAAACCATTTGTTACTTAGTCTCGTGCAAAGTTATCATGCACTTCGCTTATACATGTACTAGTAATATACATGCATGTATGTTCTGTTTTTGAATGTAAACTTGTGACTGAGAACTAAGTTAACGCAATTACATTAATTTCGGAGCATTACCAGGTGCTTTTCGGTGGTTCTGTCCGACCAGATATTGTTAGGGGCTGCGATACATGAATGCGTTTTCTCAATGCCTTGCTGATTATGTATGTATGTATGTAAATTTATATGAAATTAATGGAAATATAGATATAAAATATTTAAGAAACATTAATGTCTGCCAATAGTCCACCTTCGGAACTGTTATTTTATTACAACAAAATTTTAAAATGCCAAAGAGGAAAGTTCCTCATTAAAACTATTATCTTTGTCGTTGATTAAATAGTCTAACTTATTTTGTTACGAAGATACATAGTCTTTACAAAAACAAATGACTTTCATGGAAAAAATTGGTTTGTCCGTTGTTGAAGATCACATTTTGCGGCCGTAAAACAACTTGTCGCTGATCTTTAAGAAAACATTAAGAATGTAACTTAAGTTTCTTTTCCAGGATACCTCGTTTCTGCTATAGCATATTTTCTATGCAAACTTGATACTGTATGTGTGCAACAAAGTATCATAACAACATACTCAAGCCTAGTATCGTTTTATTTAACCGTGGCGATAGCAGTTCACATTTTTACAACCGTCGTCTTTAAAAAGGACTCAACTTCATCATTGAAGTTCTTCATATGTGTTAACATAATTTGTTGGGTCGTTCCAGGTAAGTTTAGCAACATAGCGGCTAGGGATATATTAGCTTATTATCGTAATTTATATTAATCTTTATAACATTTAAAACATATTTATAGTTATTAATATCAAATCTCATGCTAGCTAGTGATTCAAATTTATCATCACCGTTGAAATATATGTTAGGGCTTACTTACAAGAAGCCATCATGTTGATTATAATCTTCATTAATTCAACACCAACCTGAATAGCTTGTAATTGCTAGTTTTGATAACTTTACAGGAATATAAGCAATCGTCAATCTTAATAAAACTTTATTTGGTAAAGCATTTGACAAGAAAAGATATCTTTGACAACAAATACAGGTACAAACACAGACAATATAGCAGAACCGAGATTAACTACGGAGAAAATTGTACTGCCATTCTGTTCAGCAGGCACAATTCATCATAAAAGATTTCAGGTCCGGTTGGAATTGTTATTCATCATCATAATAATTTCCCCAATCATCGAAAACATTAGGCGTATTAGTTCATATCTGAAGCATAAAAGGTATCAGGAATTAGCTATTCTCAACTAGCAATTCTATAAACTAACATTTATTTTTGAAGGTATTATTGTTGGCGAAGCTCATGCGCATGGTGTTCTTGGGAGAGATAACAGTACTGAAAAGGCATCAACAGGAACTCCTTGGTGTTGGCTAAAACATTTACACAAAAACTATCGTACTTGGGTGTTTCTATCTGGTAAAGGATGGGAGTTTTTATGCTACCTTATTACAACATCGGCATACGTTCTGTTGAAATGGAATCGGGTAAATAACTTTAATCATATTAATAAGCATTAGTTTAAGTACATTCTAAGCTGGAATAACTTTTAGCTCGACTTTCCGAAGGCGAAGCAAATATATTGTCATGCGACCGCTCAGCAGCAGCGACTTAAGCGGTGGTGTCGGCGATGGTTGATCGTTTTGCTTACATTTTTATTCATGATCGTAAACTTCAATAAAACTAATATCATAATATGGTCATTGGAACGTCAATGAGTAAAGGGCCAAGATGATTGGGACTTGTAATTGCAAAACAAATACAAATACAAATATCTTTATTTCTCTCAGGTCAAGACATTGACAACATGAGGTAAATAAATATTAACAAAGTTTCGAGGCTCAATAGAATACAAACAAAAAACATAAGCATATATAATACATGTAAAGAGAGAGAGAACCTTGGGTACTTTTAACATACAAAACATAAATCTGGCCATTGAATCAAAATGCATTGACTAAGGAACTTCAACTTTTTTTCTGAAGTTGCACCTTGATAAGTGCTAAGCTGTGGGCACACTCATTTTAGATCAGTCTTAAAGTCAAGGCCACTCGGACCAGTAAAGACAAAAATTGGGTATAGAATTAATTTGTATTTACCTGGTAATTTCAAATATTGCATGTAGCTATATCTTGATATGGACTACCTGCAACATTCATTTTCTAGTCAAATGTCAGTCACTGAAAAAAAAACAACAACAAAAAACAAACAAACAAACATCATCAACAACAACAACAACAAAAAACGACATAAACTGACCTTTAAGGTGTATAACGACTCCTTTTCGCCATATTTATATTTAGTAAAAAATCAAAAGTCATTGTGATCTTTGCTATCTTTTTAAGTCTCTTAAGGGTTTTTATGCTCAATAATTAGAATTGTGACATTGAAATATCAGGTCCGGATGCATCTTGCATCTAGTTTTGCCAGCCAGTTAGCTCAAAAGGTCACAGGTTAAGGTCATTGTATATTTAGTTATATCTTTATCAAGAACATGTGCAGTTAACTATCCAGCTCTATGAAAATCGGAGCTTGCATCCCTTCTACATATTGTCTCAAATCAGATTAGACGACAAAAGACAAAATTATAAAAACAATAAACTATGCTCAAATTTGTTATGAGAAAATTTTGATCATTGCTACACATTTGTAAAAATTAAATAAAAATGTTTTGACACAAAGTTAATGTTAAAACATCACACACTATATAGGTGATCACAATATAAATATATATAGTTTCATTTAAAAACCTGACATTTTTTTAAAAGGTCAAACGTTACTTGAACTGTAATATAAAAAGCAGCTTGCCATAAAGAGAGAAATTATTCTTTTATTCAAATTAGACATACTCAGTAAGAATTCTATAGATTTGATTGTGTTTTTGTACAGAGAAATAGCATCGTCAACTTTTCCCCATGTTTTGATTGTGTTTCCGAATTTTCTACATAGTGTTAAAAAGAATAATATCAACGTTTTACACCTCCACATAGGTACATCAGGTTCATTGACCGTTCTGCTTAATGTTATTAGGAACTGCTGATAAAAAATATTTGAAAGGGATGATCCCGTTGAAGTACGTATATTGAAATGAAATATTAAATTGCTCTTGTATAATTAAGCATTAATTGTATGCCAAGATACTGACTCACAAGAGTTTCTATATTTTCAGAAGCTGAATCATAACAGGGAACGATTTAAAGTTGTACATGACAGCTTGAGAGACGAGGATAGGAATTATCTTTATGTTTGGCTATTTATTTACATACTTAGACTATGGGGATCTGTTCGCTCTTTGATGTCCTTTCAAGAAAATTATAAAGATAATGTAATTTATGACATATTGGTGCACATGCAAGCAATTGGGGATCCTGGTCAGGCATTTTGCAATTTCATACTGTTCTGTGTTCTTGACAAGACGGTACGTGATCATGTATTTCGGACGCCTGAGGAGAGAACCCATTTGCTTCAAGGTGATTCTAATCACTACAACATTGACACTGACCAGAGAGGATTTCAATCCAGTTGTGTTTGAATTATTAAATATTGTTCTAAATATGTACTAGGAACATTGCTCATGTTCTAACATAATAGCAAAATGTACTGATCGTGCAAAGAATACATTTGATAGTCATACATCTGATACTTCGGTGCAATCAGAAGATAGAGGGGAACCTTCAAATGATAATTGTTACTTGAATGAAACGAAAGAAGGACCGATAGGTTTTCACACAAGCTAATAATTAATGATTAACATCGTACTATTTATCTTCAAATGAGAAAAGAGAAAAAAAATTATTCTCTCGGAAAAAATATCTGGTTTTGCAAAGAGTCAAACATTTATCGCACGTCATAATGAAAAGAATTTAAGATTTGATTCTTTAGAAACACTATATCCTATTAGGAATACAGTATGTGAAGACAATCCGAATCTAAGGCAATCCGAATCACACCATTTAATTTCGTTTTTATTCATCAATATTTACGTTCCTTATGTTTACATGGACGAAAGAATCAGTTAATATAAGTTCTAAAAAATCATTTCTTGTTTGTAAGGAAATATATCTTTTTGGTGATTCAGAACTACTTGAATGACAAGTTGGTTTTAAATGAAGGCTTTAATATTTTCAAATTAGTAGTTCATTAGTAGTTTTCAATCTGTAGTTACTGTTAAATGTTTTGTCTTATGTATTGCAATAATGAATTTAATTATTTTCTTGTTGATTTCTATTTTTTCTTCAACAGTATTTAATGCCAAGATTTCAAGAAAACTTCGGTAAGCCTGTTACTATTAGATTATGTCATACGGATGTTACAACCTGAAGCACTCCAAACATATTGACTGTAAAAAAATAACGCTTTGTCTACGCTGACTGTACCAAATAATTTTAATAAAGACTTACCTTTGAAACATATAGTACCAAGTGATACACCTTTTTATATACTTATTAAACTCGCATGCATACATGAAAACTGTTTTCATTGAGTTTAAAAGAAGTAACCTTTTTCAGATATTCACAAATTCAAAAATTATTTCAGAAATTTTGTATAGAAGAAACTGTGACTTACATACATACATGTATCTACTCTACATAAGAATTAAATGGATCACTTTTGCTGTTTATAAGGTTTGTTTCTCTTTTGCGATAGACTATTGCTAAATTTTATTAATCTGTTGTACCGTAACTTAAGGATAATGTACTCTCTTAAATGTTCAATTTGTTCGCATTAAAATAATTCATTACATTCAACAGATTGCTTAATACAAATTAATTATTGGGCAATCGTTTCATGATATATTTTGATCTACAATTCTGAAATTTTAACTTTTAAGTTTTCTTTAGTTAATATTAAATAAGAGAGAAAATTATTGAGAAAGATTTGAACTTTTGTACACTCAATATATTTACCTGCTCCTAAGATATTAACATAAAACAAAGTAAAATGTCAGGTTTGGGGCTAGAATCTGTGAAATAGATTACACTTATAAATATAAATATTATATCACTTTTATCACATTCATTATATGATAATATATATTTGTTTCACAATGATGATACGTAAATAAACTATCAAATAGTACTCGTGTTTTTCATCGTCCCCATTGAGCGCGACGAAAATACACATGATTGTATACTGTATTTACAGTAAAATTGTGCACGCATTTTTCCTCGTCATAATAATCAGTAATAATTACACGTTATTAAAATATCACATTTGTAATTTTAAAGATAACAAACACTGGATACATAAAAGCTGTACATATTGTATGTTTATTACCTGTTTGCTGATGAAGAAATGTGACAACATGAACGGTACCAATACAACTAGAAATAACACTGATTCAGACTCGTTTTCAACATTGGTAATTGAGTCAATTGTTCATTCCAGGTTCATTCGCGATATTTAGATCTTATATTCTTCTACCGGAAATTAGAAATTCTACCAGGAAACTAGTCACATGTCTTACAATAGCAGATTTTCTTACTGCGCTTAGGTAATATAATTTTGTTTCTCAACGAATGCAAAATTTTGGCCATAGGCCATCTAAAATCACTTTGACTTCTTGTAAAAGTTTCATGGAAGACCTGAATATAAAAAGAATGTTCATTGATTATTTTAAAATTAGAAATACATCTGGGAAACTCAATGTAAATGATAGTTCTTGCCATTATAAAATAAAATAAAGTTTAAAGGAAAGCCCTTATAAAAAAATAAGATATTAAAGATATTTAAGTTCTGCTGAACCATTCATCCTCCCCCACAAAACATTATACACTGCGTTAAGATCTTATTACATTTTCTAGTGAACACTTTTTTCAACATAAGAACTTACTAAGTTTGTTTTGAATTAACACAAGGACTTACTGAGTTATACATTTTGACTACCAATAGCTATCACGATCCTGTAGTTTGTTGACTTTATACTATCCATTATCCGTTATAATACAAGTCACAGGGACATCTAAATAAATACTGGAAAAAAGAAATTGCCCTACTTTAAAAAGACATCAATTTGAATATGCTTATGATTTCAATGTTTACAAAATGGGTGTTTTTTTTCTTAGCTACAAAAGTTATCATATTATTGTTGGGCAAGGATTGTGCATGCTAAAATTTCTATTTGTAACAAAATCTTAGAAATATAACACATGCAAGTTAACAAGTTTTACTTTGGTCGAGTATTTTGTTTTAAAAGATACCTTTTGGTGTTGTTGTTGTTGCTTGGTTCTAAGTGGCACCAACATTGTTAAGGTCATATATTGACATCCCAGGTTCACTGGTGTAGGAAGACTAACGACGTTCTGTAAGCTAGCTGGATAGTTTTCTCACATAAAAAGAATCCAAAGTCCCTATCAGGATTCGAATGGTTTGAAGTCAACGACACCCGTTAACATGTTTTATTGCAATGTAAATGATTTCATTATAGGGCACATTAATGTTACCTGAAGAACTATTCAGTTGAGATTAATAAGAATTAGTCTCAAAAAGAGGCACAAACAACCCGCTTATATTTTACTACACACAGAAATTGCATTATTATTATTTCATTATATATTCGTCTGAAATTCCACTTGTTGATATACTTAAGAACGCTTAACTAAAGCTCATACAAACTGAAAATGTTACTTGGAAGATTCATGCAGCAAAATGTAAACATGTCTTACGCATGTTAGTGATTACAGCACTTGGTGAAAACTGTTCTCTATAGTTAACGTTGGCATCAATTTTATTGGCAATCTTAAAGTTTTAAGTTTGTCATTTACAAAGATCTTTACTTCGGGCAAAGAAACATTTCAAAATGTAGCCATATATGAATGACAACACATTAAATCAAGACATACGGAAGACATTTTATAACAACAAAAAATGACTGAACATATCGTAATTAAATTAAAGATATTTATGTAATCAAATTAATTTAATTCAATTAATTTATGAGGATGGCTTGATGTGCTTGTTGAATTAATATAATAATCGAGAGTTGTCGGTTACGGGGTTTGGTTGAGTTGCTTGAGATCGAATCCACGCTTGTAAGTGGTTAAGTTTTTTTGTGTGTCTTATTTCGATTCCAGTTACCACTATTTTTAGAAGTACTAAATTTTAATTTATTTATCAAAAGTAATAGAAACAATAAAACAAATATGTTTCAAATATAATTTCACGGTGAATACATAGATAGTACAAAATGCCAACTTGTTGACATTAAGTCGAATTTGTTTAGAATTGTACATCAGTGGGCATATTTAAAGATCCTTTATGTTGTAATTCAAATTGTTTCAGCACTTAAGTGAATTTCTATATATGTATACCATTATTCTTCTTAAATAATTTCCAAACATCCAAGACTATGTTAAATATTTACTGCAAATGTGCATCAGCGTTGTTTGTGCCGTGTGGAGGCTGTAAAAAGTCGCCCCGTACATACATGTTATATTTCCGATCCTTAATTTTTTGTGCTTGTGATAATTTTGTTCTTTCTATTCGGCTATTTTCTTGTTTGGTGGTTCCAGTATTCCTCACTTGAATACTGTTTAATCACCCTTAGGATATGTGGCCTGCTTTTTAAATTTGTCTTTTGACGTCTTATCTGTGATATGCAGGCTTCATAACCTCTTATCCCCTTTCAAAATTCCATTTTATTTAGTTCTGCCCATTGTTTTCTCGTTTAGGGCACACGCATTTTTTACTTGGGGACCATATGCCGCTTTGCATGGAACGGCACTTACGTGTCACATTGAAGGTTCCATGATAACCGCCATATGAACAAATCTACGGATGTCTCAAAATTCAAAAATTGTACCAGTTCATGTTAAATGTTGAATTCTGCTTAAGCCGGTGCTAGGGGGCTTGGACGGTAGTTTGCACTTGACAGTACCGTCTATGAACAGGGTCAATCAAACCGAGCCTGCAACATTTTCAATTTTGCCGTATTGGGCTTTCTTTAGGAATTCTTATTTTCTCTATTTTATGGGAATATAATAATATAGGAATCTTTAAATATATGCATTCATTTCTTATTGAAAAATTTGAGTTAGACTTAATCGAAATAAATTTCTTATTATCTCCCTTTATTTACTTCTATCCTTTTTTACAAATAATGCTTTTTTGAACTTACAATATTGATAAATATTCATTTTAACATCATATGTATGATATCACACCATTAAGTAATAGAAAGAGCACCGAAACACGAGGCTATCTGATTTGTACGAGGGGGCGTAGCCCCCGAGAATTAATCAGATTGCCGAGTGTTTTGGTGTTCTTTCTCTTTTGTATCATAGTCAAACATAAAAGCACGTTCCCTGTTGTCACAATATGAAACCCCGGCAAAAATGAACCAATGAACGAACATCTGAATATGACATTTCTGTCGCTTTCCCTTTCTCTGCCGTCACAATATGTAAATCCCAGCAAAAATGAGCCAATCAATGGGCATGCTCTGGAGTGCGGGTAACTAATAACCGCACTCCAGTTAACGCACTGTACATGTATATGTATACGATTTAACCCTGACACATTTTCAACAGAAAGGTCTCCAAACTATGATACAAAAATGAGTAACAGGATCTTTAAATTAAAAAAAGTTGGCAGACATATTTTTAATCATAATTGTACCGAAACAGACTTTTTTTTCCATTAGATGTCAAATATATACATTCGTTTGACATTGAAGATTACTCTATCTATTTCTGTTTACATCGGAAACCACGTAGTATCCGTACTTACTCCGAGGTTATTATAGATAATAGCCAAGGACGTTCCGATAGACAGAGGTGTGCGTAGTATATTACAAACAACTATATTCCGTGTTGTCCCGAACCTTAATGTTACGAAAGCCGTGTTAACATATAGACGTCGTTTTCCGTATAGCTTTTTTTTTTAACAATTTTGACACAAACCATGAAGCTATACACCCTATATTAAAAATCTACTAAAACAGACCAATGCAAAGATTACCTTAATCATATAGTAATAAGAAAAAAAGTAAACCATGAAACATCAAGCAGTGTCGATTCATCACCATCATTCTGATCACTGTGCATGTAGCTTTGTTCCTGAAACAAAATTATCCTTACACTATAATACTATGTTATATCACAATATATTTTATTTGACCTACTATTTTAGGACATTTGTCATTATTTACATTTGTAGATGGTGTATGCAAAACTAATCGAAAATTACATCGTTACATAAAAAAGGTTTCAACCTATAATAGTTTCAAACATTTGAAATTATTGAAAAAAAAATAACGCGTAATCGAAAATATAATTATCAAAAATTTACATGCTGGCAATATTATGTCAAAACCTTTTCTAATTTACATTATTATATGATCTAAATATAGCTGCAATCTCATTGGTCCAATCAGTAGTCAACAGAACTTTTTATAAAATCATATTTACTGGGTGTAGTATCATATTCACTGGCTGAATTGGATTTTCCCAGTCTAAAAATAGATTGAGACTCATATTCAATGATCATACACCGTAGACTGTTAATTACGCGTGTTATTTAAAAAATAATTGTTGCTTTTTTTTCTTTATGGCATATTTCTCGATTAAAATATCAATACTTTACTATCATACTTAAGGGTTACACCGCAATAATGAGTATAAACTTGAATTATTTTTTGTATGCGCAGCGTTCGCGTAGTCGTTGCACGCCTAACACGTGCGTCTTTCTTCCCGCGCTTCAACGAGGCAAAATTTGTACATGTATAATTATAAGGTTGCACTTTTGTAAATTTTTTTTTAATTTCTTAGCCTATTCATATAATAAAACAATTATTGACTGGTGAACCATTGAATATGATGTGATATTCACCGGCAGAAAGTCATATTGACCTCGGCTATCGCCTCGGTCAATATGTCATCTGCCGGTGAATATCACATCATATTCAATGGCTCACTAGTCAATAATTGTATAATATATATATTCTGTCATTATAATTATATTATATAAGAAGTTTATCTATCTTTAATAATTCATCTTGAACTGTTGCTTATCAATTGAAGTATCAATAACAATTGATCATTGCATTTATATTAAACTCTTATTATCTCATTTATCTAAATATGTGTGCAAATATAAGCATTGCATAAGCTAACATCGAAGAATGATCATAAGATGTGTCTCATTTAGTAATTCTGCGTTTCGTTATTTGCTTTTCTTAAAAAAAAAACCCGTTTCGTCATTATTTTCTCGGCATTTGACAGTTATCTTTTTTTGATTATAAATTATTCTACGGCCGTTGTTGCAGTCAGCTATTTTTACATGGCGAACAAAGTAACACATATTAAAAACGTGTAGCAATGGCGCGTGCTCGCGTGATTTTATTGGAGAGGTCATCAAACCTCTCCACAGTGTTGAGAATGATTGCTGGCGGCATCCATTTTTGCGTATCAAATTGAAGCTAATGCATCGCATTTTAAGCCTTAAAACATTAGAATCAGTCTACAAAAATTACTATGCGCATGCTCCGCCTCAAAATACGACTTAGCTTAAACGAAAAATTAACATGGAAGTGAACAAATCGGTACGAGGAAAAATCGCAAAATATCATTTACGTTACTTAACACTACGAGCAATGGTTCATTCTGTTTTTAATCCTTTAAACTGTATAAATTAATACTTCTTTTCTGAATAACGTTTTACTATTTTATGTTCCAACAATATCACCATGCACTATTATATGACCGAGTGAACGGTTTGCTGCTACTTTCACTTTTGAACTGGTATGACTAAATTACGCGACGGAGATTTTTTGGCGCAAATGGCGAAAATGGCACAACTTTTTCTAAAAAAATATGATAAACAAGATAAACATGCAAAGGCAGCGTTCAATGAACGCAACCACCACATGATTCAGCAACAAGAATCAGTGGCAAGAATCCCAGGCGGACCTTAAACAAGTTTGGTTTTCTTGCCATATTGTGGTTGGAGGCATGCAGCAGTATATATTGTTTATTCCAATCAAATGATATTACATTATTTTTGTAAATCTGGGACTTAAAATTGTTTGATTAACATACTTTATGTTCGTTTTAGAAAATCTCTGGTGCATTTTATATCTCCAAATATTTTCGAAATAAACAAATCTTCAACAGCTGCAAAAAGACCTCTCGCCGCATGCTTCTTTTTAAAGAAGCAAACTTGTCGTTATTAATGCTAAATGTCTTGTTCTCCGCAAATGTAAAACTGCATGAGCAGTTTTTAAGGAACACTTAAAATCTGAAGGCCTGCTACTCTCAAAAAGTTACCGATTCCGCAATGAAAGACTCTGATGTGCAGTTAAACAACACAAATTAATTTCAGGAGATAAAGCTGTCAATAAAATTTTCATTAAATTGGAGGAAAAATAGTAATTCAAAGTTATTTGCATATTTACTCACTCACTTCAATTTCTTAAATAACATCTGTGCCCATATATATTATTTTATTCCGTTTGTTTGAAGGATTATACCTTTATAAGGTTAGGGGTGGGCCCGCGGAGGGATGTAATGCGGGGGAGGGGTGCAGGAAGAGCAGGAAGTATTATACTATCACTTAATGATAACACATTATCATGTTTAATATTTACTAATTGTTAGTGTATCGTTGAAAGTGATACTGTAGATAATAAAACCTTATTGTATGTAGCTAAATATATTTGCCATATATTAATGAGATAAATGTGTCGTGCATGTATTAATAATTAGATACATCACTAGTAGGTTACTCTTTCCAATGTGTTTTATTTCTTTTTGGATACATTCAGTAAGTATTATATTAATAAGTTGTTAATGGCCGATGAAAAAACTGTTTCAAGTTTTATTGAAATAGTACCAAGAATTTTATTAAGCTAAATCATTTATCTCATTTGTTTATCTTATTTACTTTTAAGTTCATTTCCTGTCCGGTAGTTATCTCAGCTGACACGATTTTGATTATCATGCTATGTTTGGGGAGTCGTGAGCCGCTTCCATGGAATGGCACGAAAATGTCACTTCGAAGGTTCCATGGTCACCGCCGTATAAACAAACCTGCCGATGTTTTTAAATTCTTAATTATAAATGTCGAAATGTTTTATTGTTGGGTCCTGCTCATTCAAGTCGGTGCTATGTGGAATGGGCAGTAGATCAGTGAAACTGATCCTAAGATACATCCAAATTTGCCTTTTTGAAGGGATCATTTGCTTCGAAGCAATTCGAATTTCAACAGTGGCTAGCTTGTAAAATTGTAAAAAACAATTTGAAATGTCCCTCATTCTTTATTCTGGTGTAATTGTTTAGAATTGTATTGATAAGCCGTAATATGAACAGTGTAACCATGAAATATAGTGTTCAAGGGAGTTGGTTCCAGATAGATAGGGACAGGAGGACATTGATGGTCCTCCGTGTACGAATGTTTAAGGTTGCTGACTGACTTCCAATCAAAAGCACCTTTTCAATATGAGTTCAATCACAGCTAGGGATTTTTGGATGCTTATTTGTTTAGGAAGCATTCCAGCCACTTATCTAAAATCACATGTCAAAGATATGAACATGAAATTGTGTTGCAACTGTTTGTGTGTTATACATATGTACATTTACTTAACAAAATGTACAGTAAAAAGTATAGCATGATCTTTCATTTTCAGCGACATCAAATACACTGTACAGAAAATTGCACAAGACAAATACTGAGATCCTTGACAGACAGTCAAAAGAAGTAACAAAGCTGTAACACAAACATGTATTCTAATACGTCTAATAGTACTAGTAAGAATGTCACGGATTACACAATGGCTGTGATAATGTCTACTTGTAGTTGTAGTCTATCTATTATAGCTTCTTTTATGATTTTTGGCTCATATCTATTTATACCGGAAATTCGGAATTCTACAAGGAAGCTCGTCACGTGCCTTACTGTTGCAGATTTCTTGACAGCTGTTGGTAATTACATTTTTCTTGTTATAATGTTGTAAACACCATTTCTTATTAAATCTTGTACAAAAGTATCACTAGTGATACTAACTTACTAAAACTAACTTTTGGTTATTGTTGCTTGGTCGTCCGGCCTAGATATTTTTAGGCACTGCGTTATATATGTAAATGCGTTTTTGCAATGCCTTGTTAATTGTGTTTATAATATAAATGTATATGAAATAAATGAAATTATAGATATAAATTAAAAATGAATTATTACTAGTAATGCCTGTCAATTGTCTACTTTCGGAACAACAAAACTATAAGACATAAACGCCAAAATAGAGGACAGTTATTAATCATTGTCTTAGATTAATTAGTCTTGCTTATTTTGCCACAAAAAAGACAACTGATTTTCTTCTAAAACGTTGGTTTGTCTGTTAATGGAATGAACAATATGCGAACGTAAAACAACCTATTCCCGATCTTTAAGAAAACATTAGAATGTAACATGCATGTTTCTTTTCCAGGTTACCTTATTTCTGCTATAGCATATTTTCTAAGTAATCTAAAATATGTGTGTCTGACACAGAGTATCATAACAACATATTCAAGCCTAGTATCGTTTTATATAACCGTGGCGATAGCAGTTCATATTTTTACTACAGTGGTGTATAGAAAGAACTCAACTTCATCATGGAAGTTCTTCATATGTGTTAACTTAATTTGCTGGCTAGTTCCAGGTTAGTTTGGAAACATAATTAGTCATCTCATATATATTATAGTTTACGGTATTTTACCGTTTATTTATAGTTTAAATATTGCACGTTTGTTACGTCGCTAATCATTTGATAATCACGATGTTTATATAATCTTTATACACAAAAACTGCTGTCAATATGAGAAGAAATTTTCATGAAGAACATGAAGTAGACTTGTACTGGCATTTATGTTCAGATTTCAGGTCCGTTGGGTTTGTAAATTATCATTATAATAATTACCCCGACCCTCGACAAGCGAACATATTATTCATATCTGAAAACTAAAAGGTATCAGAAAATATGAAAAACAAGGTTAACAAGGAAAGGCGGTGACTAATGAATGCGACCCCCATAGAAGAATTTCCTAACTTGGAATTCTGTTAATAAACGTTAAATTATGTTTTTATAGGTATTATTGTTGGCGTAGCTGAAATGGATGGTGTTCTTGGGAGAAACTTTACCAGTAATGCCACGACATCTAATGTACCTCCTTGGTGTTGGCTTGTCAGTGAACACCCACACTATAAGCTTTGGGTTTTTCTTTCTGGTAAAGGATGGGAGTTTTTATGCTATCTTATTACAACATCAGCATACGTTCTATTGAAATGGAATAGGGTAAATAACTTTAATTATATCTGTAAGTGTATTGGAAACGCAATAACAAGTTCATATTTATTTACTGAAGTATAAACAGAGGTCTTGCTGTATTACATGTATAGTTCAAATTGTATGTCTATCAAAAAGGCCTCAGAGATAGTTTTCAGGGTATGTATATTTAATTAAGTAGGCGGAGCTAATCTATAAATACTAGCTTCACTTCATCTCCGCCTTGCTTATATTTAAAGGTAACTGGTCAGTTCTAATGAAGGACATTGATCATTTGTCTGACAGTAGGATTGTTGTCTAAGGTATCCACTGATTCACGTGTGTTTATTTGACGCTGTCGCTGCCACTACAAGTTAATGATCACATTTAATCACAGTAAATTGGGAAATTAATGTAGAACGTTACTGAATAAATAATATTAATGTTTAAAAGAGAGTAAAAGTTCAATGTTTACAGAAAACAAGCAGGTTTTAAGAACATGATATAAAACAAATTTAAGTAGAATCTAAATGATACACAATATTTTTAAGTGTCAAAATGCCAAATAAATGTTACATTAATATATGTACAAGTATTCCATTTTGCTCTTGATGTTAAAACACATAGTAGGAAAGCGCAAATAGGGGAAAATAATAATTAAAATATGTAAAACATATAATATGTATCAATTGGTGGCAGAAAATAAAAGTTTTGTATTCATGCCTTTTGGATATTGTGTTCGTAGTGTATATTTCTTTAAATAAACTGTCAATATTGTTTTCAATGATTTCTATGGGGATTACTGGAAAGTCATTGATATTATGACCATTTAAATTGAATTCTTGAATGATGAAGATCTGTAAAACTACATATATCAAATTTTTGACTATGCATACGTCTTGAAACTGCTTGCTTAGTTTGCCCTACATGCTGCATACTGCATGTATTACAAGTATATTACAAGTAATATATAACTCATATACATTTTTTTCTTTGGATGGGGGGGGGGGGATAATGTTACTGGCTTGTGTCAGCACTGAGAAATAGCATCGTTAACTTTATTCCATGTTTTCATTAAGTTTTTGAATTTGAAAATTAGGCCTGTACATCAAATTAATTTGCCACCCTGATAATGATCTTGGAAAATACTAAGAGTTAAAACACCTTGGCATGAAGTGATCTCTTTGGAGCATGCATAATTAAGCTTTGGCAGTCCAGATATTGATTCACAAGAGTTTCTTCATTTTCAGAAGCTGAATCATAACAAGCAACGATTTCAAATTATACATGACAGCCTTAGAGACGAGGACCAGAATTATCTTTATGTTTGGCTATTTCTATACCTACTTAGACTATGGGGGTCTGTTGGCTCTATGATGTCCTTAGGTGGTGTTAATAAACAATCACCGCTGTCTAAGGTATTTATGCATATGCAAGCAATTGGGGATCCTGGTCAGGCATTTTGCAATTTCATACTGTTCTGTGTTCTTGACAAGACGGTACGTGATCATGTATTTCGCGCATGCTGTAAACCATGTCGTACTAGCAATACGCCTGAGGAAAGAACCCATTTACTTCACGGTGATTCTAATCACTATAACAATGATACTGACCATACAGGATTTCAATCTAGTTCTTTTGGAATTGATTATCATTCTGAACAATCCGAGCGTTACTCATGTCCTAATATGGCAGCAACAGTTATTGATCATGCTAAGAATTCAACTGACAGTCATGCATCTAAAACGTCGGTGCAATCAGAGTATAGAGGGGAACCTTCAAATGACAATTGAGACCTGAATATTACGAAATAAGGGCCGCCGATAGGTTGTCAGACAAGCTATTAATTAATGACATTTAACATCGTTCTTGGAGTTATATATTTAATTAATTTATCTAAGGAAATATTTATTTTCCCGGAAAAATATCTCTGATTTTGCAAAGAGTCAAAAATGTATTGGACGTTATAATGACAAGAAATTATTTAAGAGTCTTCAGAGACTTTAGAAGCAATAAATCCCATTAGGAATACCAAATAATTTTGATAAAGACTTACCTATAAAACATACAAGATCAAATGGTACACATTTATATCTATTCATTAAACTCACATACATGAAAACTGTTTTTATTTGATTTTTTAAAAAATAGTTACCTTTTTTCACAAATACAGAAATTATTTCAGAAATTTTGTATAAAAGAAAAAAAATTAACCTGTGTATCTACTTTTGTAGTCTATATCTACATAGGAAATAAATGGATTGCTCCTACTGTCTATATTTTAGAGGAATGTAATAAGCATTTTGACAGGAGGTTTGTTTATCTCTTGCTAACTTTCATCAATATGTAGTAACTTAGTACTGTACACTGTACTCTCTTAAATATTCAATTTGTTTGCATTAAAATAATTCATTACATTCAACAGACTGCTTAATACAAATTATTAATTGAGCATTCGTTTCATGATATATTCTTTTCTACAATTCTGAAATTTTAACTTTTAAGTTTTGATAAGTAAATACGTGTGTATGAAATTGAAACAGATTTGGACTTTTGTACACTCAATATATTTACCTACTCCTAAGATATTAACATAAAACAAAGTAAAATGTCAGGTTTGGGGCTAGACTCTGTGAAATAGATTACACTTATGAATATAAATATTATATTTCTTTTATAGCATTCATTATAATTATGATAAGATCTATTTGTTAAACAATGATGATACATAAATAAACTATCAAATAATACTCGTGCTTTTTATCGTCCCCGTTTAGCGCAACGAAAATACACATGATTGTACTCTGTATTTACAGTTAAATTGTGAACGCATTTTGCCTCGTCATAACAACCAGTGATAATTCAACGTTATCAAATTATCATATTTGCAATTAAAGATAACAAACACTGGATGCATGAAAGCTGTACGCACATATATATGTTGTATGTTTATTACCTTTTTACCTTTTTGCTGAAGAAGAAATGTGACAACATGAACGGTACCAATGCAGCTAGGAATTACACTGACTCGTTTTCAACAGTGGTTGTAATTGAGTCAATCGTTAGTTGTAGTTTATCTATTCTAGGATCATTCGCGATATTTGGATCTTATATTCTTCTACCGGAAATTAGAAATTCTACCAGGAAACTAGTCACGTGTCTTACAATAGCAGATTTTCTTACTGCATTAGGTAATATTTATGTTGTATATTCACTGGCTTGCTTTTTTTATTTAGTAATTCAAACGTACAGTAGCTGCAGTTGCAATTTAATAGGAAAACATACCCAAAACGGAAATACTCAATAACAATAAAATCGCATTTTGCATTTGTAATTTCATGAGAAATAAATGAACACTAACATTCAACTGATGAATTTTAGACCTATGATGAACGTTTAATTTACAATTAAGGCAGTGCTAAAATAGTTGTTAAAATTAATAAATATTGTTCCTTGATTGATTTAGGCGATATTTATATTCAACAGGAATCATTACATCAGCGATTGCTCATCTAGTTGGTACACAAAAAGACGTGTGCAAAACACAAAGCGGAATAACAACATATTCTAGTCTCGTGTCATTCTTTCTTACTGTTGCCATTGCGATTCATATCTTTTCAACTGTAGTAAACAGAAACGATAAAACCTCATCGTGGCAATATCTCGTAATTACTAACATCATAAGCTGGTTATGTCCAGGTAAGTATAATAATCATATTATTTCTAATAATTTTATAAAAAATTGAAATTGCTCTTTGGACGGGAACGGGTGTAGAAACATCGACAGTTATCAATTCACTCTGTTGTTCGAGTTTTATAATTCCTCAACATATTATGGAGTATTTGTTAAAAATTATATCATTGAGGGTAACTTAAATAAATAAATTTGCAACATTGAAAATATTCCGTTGCGATTTATGTCAAGTTATTCGTTAACGACCGTGGTAGTAGTATATAATACAATGTAGCGTTTGGGCTCCAAGCACTGGTTAGTATTTAATATTTGACAAGAAAATGAGCCATAAAGTAACTCAGATAGCCAATGGTGATAAAAACATAATTACTGAATTACGGTGATGAGTAGAAGACGACGATGGTGAGGATAGTAATAATAGTGATGATGATGATGATGATGATGATGATGATGATGATGATGATGGTATGAACGCTTTGTACAGTCATGAAGAATTAAAATTACTAGCAAAGACACTAATCATCTATTATTATTTTCCAGGAGTTATTATTTTTCTAGCTATAGAAAATGATGTTCTTGGTAGTGACAAAACAGAAAACGTGGGCACAGGTACTTGGTGTTGGTTAAAAAGGGACGTTAAAGACTATATGTTTTGGATGTTTTTGACTGGAAAAGGTTGGGAATTGTTGTGCTACTTGCTGACGACGTCCTTATATGTTCTTCTGAAATTCTACTTGGTACGTAGATATCCTTATGAAAACGAAATTTGGATATATATACAAATGTACATTTGTTTATATTACAAGATATCCTGCAAAAGTAGAATGCGTGAGGCGCATTTAAATAATTAGTTACTCAAAAGCAAAAAATGCATACAACATACAAATTATGGGGATAATAATATGCAATATAAATTTATCAACTCGAAGTAAAACATTTGAAAATCCGGAAGTATATATCACTAGAACAAACTTGAAAGAACAAAATCAACGTACGTGTGGCGCACATAATTGAAACGATTATCTGCTTTGTAATAAATATTGCGAAATTTGTAGTGTGTTTATAAAGAAATGTGTTAACTATGAGATCAATTTGGTAATCAGTGTTCCGGGTTAAAAAAATCATGATTTTGATTGTGACTTCAAATTTATGAGAGCGAAATGTTGATTTAAGGATTTGTTTCTTTGTTGGTTTTTTTATTGTGTTTGTTTTATTTCATTGTTTTGATTTTTTTTCTCTTTTTTTTGTTTAAAGAGTATTCAGATAGCAATACCGGAATACCACTATCCCCAAACTAGATAGTCTTGAGTTCCTTCCCACTTTCTGTAGTTAAATGTAGGAAGGGAACCAGACTACCAACTAGAATAATAAGACCAAATGGAAGGAATTAAAAATACCATAAACACAAAAGTAATATTTTTCTGAACGGTTTTCAATGATTGAAATATAAGGTTACTGACTGAATATACGAGAATACATTTTATTCCTCTGTATAGCGCAAACACGCAAGTTTGCATTAAAATAAGTTTTACTATGATCACTTATCTTTGCATGTTCTATAAATTTTAAAAATTATATATTTATTGTAGCTATTAAAATTCAAGCGACACCAGTTCGAAGAGATACACGAAAGTCTCAGAAACTACGATCATAACTTCTTGTATGTTTGGTTTATACTTTATCTACTACGTCTTTGGGGTACCATTCGATCGTTTATGAATTTGACAGGAGTGGATAAACAAAGTCCTGGTGTTGAAATATCCAACGTGTTCATGCATATGCAAGCAATAGGTGATCCAGCTCAAGCTTTCTGCAATTTTATCTTAGTCTGCATCCTTGACAAACCTGTTAGATCAGTTTTGTTTGGCGACTGCGGTAGGGAACCTTCCCGTTCAGATAGAGGTTTGCTTGGAGAAAACACCACAGGTATCTTCACAGACGCTAGAGATGTAGGTAGTGCAACTAACGTACAACGCCGAAGTTATGGTAGTCTTGACCTAAGTTTCTAAATGTTTGTGAGCCACTTAATGTTGCGATGGAAATGACAATACAAGTAACATTTGCTTGAGTTGAAAACTCCTACATTTTGCAAACTAAGTTACACGAAATAAGAATATACAATTTGGATGTTCAGAATATCTTCATATATGTTTTGTTTGTTTTCTATTACTTTTTATAATTAATCTGCTCATGTGTAAAACAATTTTTCAAGTACTTTACCATTAGGGAATCTTGTATTTAACGGTGTAATATATTAATATCTTTTAAAAGAGATCATCGATGTTAATTTAGTACAGTCAAGATTATTGATATACTTTAGAATATTGTCAAATACAAATAAAAAATAAATAATTAAATGAATAGTTTAATCGTGGGAATGATAACGATCTAAATGCTTTACATGAAATATAAATTTGATGTAACCTAATTAATATATATTTACATTATAGCTTAATCATACATTGTTCCCTTAAGACCACCCACTGACACACCCAGAATAAAGCTTGATTGCGGCAATGTAATTAGACCTTACTATTAATTTGTTGGTGATATTGATTAAGAGGGTGTATGGGGTAAAATGTTTACTGTAAAAGACAAAAATCAAAATGAATTTCAAAATAACAAGGAGTATCTTTAAAATAAATACTCGTCCGAACTAATAGTAATTATTTTACTAATTTTACAATGGCCAATCAGATTCTGAGATTTCAGATTGTAATTTTAAAATGATCAATTTGATTTTTACAATATGTTCTTCCCTGTAAATTTTACAGGAAGTCAAGTTGAAAACAGACCGACCTTCGGCCGGAATAAAATAGTTTGCACTTCTATCATTACACCGAAATTTGAATATTTTTCAACAGTGTAGACAAATTTTATTAGTCCAAATAAAGTGTTATATTCTATTTATAACCAATGACTCTGTTTTATTTGAATGAACAATATGATTGTTAAATATCAAATTATTCAGACATAATGATATAAAATGGGCGTTCATTGGCTGAAAATTAAGATCTTACTTTCAAACCACTTATCCCTCTATCTGTGACTTCGAATCCCGTCAATGACTTTGGATTCTTCATTGTGCGAATGTTTTCTAACTAGATCACGGGACGTCGGTGGTTCTACTCAGATGCCCGCTCATGCACAGAGGGACATCTTAGGTCATCTTCCTCCGCCAAGTAAAGCTGAAAGTTGCCAAAATGACCTTTACAGTTTTAGTGTTAACTGAAACCAAACCAAATAGATAAAGAAAATGATAATATTGTGTTTCCTATAATTTTCCTACACGGAAAGGTTATATTACGAGAAATAGGTGGGCATGATATTTAGAAAAATGAAAAATAAAAAAATGAGAACAAAGAGCAACAAGGTAAGGCGACGTTTATAGCCCCGACACAACCAGATGGCCACCCGCAAAAAAGCGGGAAAGGACACATAAGTGGTGAAACGTTTAATCTAAAAGTTACAAATCTTGTTCTGCTGTGTATGACTTTGCGAACTTGCACTAAATTTTATATAATTCTAGACTAGTTACAATTTTTGTCGCACCAACGTTGTATAGGTCATGAAGTAGAGATACAAAATATCTAAAGAATGCTCAAAACGATAAAATTGAAAATGTTAAAGGCTTGGTTTGATTGACCCTGTTCATCGACGGTACTGGAAAGGACAAGTTAACGTTCACGTCTCTAGTGCCGGTTAAAGTAGAACAAGGCAACTTTCCAGCTTTAGTTTTTACGGGGAAGACCTCTGGTGCCTTTCCGTGTATTATTTCAGTCACGAACGTAGAACCATTCACGTTCCGTGAGCTGGCTGGAAAGCCTCCTGACATGAAAGTATATTTTGAAAGTTCCTGTCGAAATTCGAACCAACAGTGGCGAGGGGAAAGTAATTTCAAAATATTTGAAACAATTTACCATCTCTGTCCTTGTATATATATATATTGATCTAAGGATGTATGGAGGCTTTTCTCAAATATCATAGCTATTGTGTTTGTGGTAATTACCTTTAAAACCCACACACTACAATTTTTGGTACATGTAATTCTGTAAGTAGAAAATGTAACGTGTCTGGTGACAACTCCTTCCCCTGTTGAATTAGAGTCAACCGTGTAAACAAATGCGCTTGTGCTTATTTCGAGGTATAAACCTTTTTATGTATAACACAAAAAAATACAAGTAACAAGAGGACTAGAGAACTAACAAATGATAAAGAGCTGTTTGCACATTATTTCCTTCCTGACATAAACCTTATCAAATTTACTTTAACAGTAAGACCTATTTAAAAAAGACAACAATTAACATGATAATTTACATTAAAGAAAATATCAAAAATAAAAAAAAATTATATCAATGCATGAGATTTTATACGGAGACCAACAATTAGATAAAAACAAACCAAAGAAAATTATGTTTTTTTAGATTATCTAAAGTAAAAATTATTCTGGTCACTTAAAATGTTTTTTTTTCCATTGTATTCACATGGTGCAAAGTTTAAAGAAGTTCTATGAAGCAGTTTTCATCCTGCCCATACGGTCATAAAATTGTCATACACAATCGGAAGAAATAAATTAAAAAAATTGAAGTAAAAATGTTCAAAGGGGTGACATTTCTTAAAATAAAAATGCTAAGGTTATTACGTTATCAAACTATGTCGCGGATGATAGGGATCATACATTAGATGTATGAAGGTACAACTTCAAAACTAAAAGAGTTATAGTAAAACATACATGTTAATATACCAGTATATTTAATAGTATATAAAAGATTAAGTAAAATTTTACGTTTAGAGAAGATTTAATTCTGGAAATATGATTGGTTTTTACAACATCACACGCTTGAGGTGAGAATTTATGAACAATGTGCATGTACTTTAATATTTACCTTTTCATGTTCAATTATGATAATATTATCTTTTTGTTGTAAAATTATGATAAAACTTACAATACGCCTGGTCTTCATTGTCAAATTTTGACAAGGCAATTGTTTTTGTAGCTACAATTAAATTTTGCACGAACTATTTTCACCATCATAATAAGCACAGTGATAATTAAACGTTATCTGTAACTAAATTCGAAATTAAACATAACAAACATTGGTTTTACGAGGACCGCATGTACAGTTATACATACTTAATTTTGTTTCCCTAGAGGAAATGTGACAACATGGACGGTTCCAATACGACAGGAAATTACACTGATTCAGACTCGTTTTCAACAGTGGTTGTAATTGAGTCAATTGTTAGTTGTAGTTTATCTATTCTCGGATCGTTCGCGATATTCGGATCTTACAGTCTTTTGCCGGAAATAAGAAATGCTACCAGGAAACTTGTCACGTGTCTAACAATAGCAGATTTTCTAACGGCGTTAGGTAATAGTTATTACATATTACTTAAATGCTTAAAACACAATCACATTTTTTCTTTCATTTTTATTTTTCTGGTTAGTTTTTCCGCCGCAACAATACTGATAAGGTCATATGGCGATTTCCAGCTTCATTGGTGTAGGAAGACCTCAAATACCACCCTGTACACTATGTCAGACACAAACGGGCACATATGTTGAACCAAGGACGAAAGCGAGCTAGAAAGTAGTCCCTGCCGGTATCTAACCCATAACGATGCAGAACAATTGGTTTGGGTTAAAGAGTTTTATATATCACTTATAAAACAGACAGTGTTTAAAATTAGTGTTTAACATTATAAAGCTTGTGCAGCCATAGATTTTTATGATTGTCTTTTTATATTCATCTGGATACATGTCGTCAGCGATTGCTCATCTAGTTGGAACACAAAGAGATGTGTGTACACCACAAAGCGAAATAACAACATATTCGAGTCTCGTGTCATTCTTTCTTACTGTTGCCATTGCGATTCACATCTTTTCAACTGTTGTTAACAGAAACGATAGAACCTCGTCGTGGCAATTCCTTATTATTACTAACATCATAAGCTGGTTATGTCCAGGTAAATATATCAATCACTTGAAGCGGTCTTCAGCATTGATTTTCTGTTTAAAAAAGAATGCTTTGTTGTGAAAAACTAAATATCTTGGAAAAATGCATCATATCACTAGTAAGCTTTCTTCCAAACAGCGTTTCGAAAGCGAAAACTATTAATAACACGTCAGCGTGGTGCGTTTTAAATAGAAGATCGGAAATTATTATTTTATCGTCAGCAAATGTCATTTTCCACCTTAATTCTATTGATTTGACAATTATATCTAATGATGTATCTAATTATAACATATTTAACTTTAGAAAAGGTGAAGGCCACTTTAATTAAAAATGTATACATTCAAAATGCTTTGTGGAATAAGACCGGTCGCCAAAACATTTCGTTTTCGATTATTTTTAATCTGATAACGAAGGACAGTGGTCATGATGATTTCATTTATTGTCATCATCAAAGAAAAAGTTGTCGAAATATTTTTAATTAAATATCAATTCTGCTTTTGTTCTCAGGAATTATTATAGCATTTGCTATTGACAATGGTGTTCTTGGTAGAGACAAAACAGAAAATGTTGGAACAGGTCCTTGGTGTTGGTTAAAAAGAGACACTAAAGACTATATGTTTTGGATGTTTTTGACTGGAAAAGGATGGGAAATAGTGTGCTACTTGCTGACAACATCCTTATATGTTCTCCTGAAATTCTACTTGGTACGTTGATGTACGTTCATATTCGAAAAGTAAACCTAGCACTTACAACATGTACGTGTCAATTATAAATTTCAGAATGCTAAATGCTACACATTCCACTTTTCATGTGCAGCAAAATGTCATTGTGTTTTAAGCATAAGTGATATCTGCACTGGGTGATAATTGTTTCATAGTCAACATTTCTATATCAGTTTTATTGGCATTCTGCAAGTTTTCAGTTGGCCATTTACAAAGATCTTTACTTTTCATTCAATGAAAATGTAGCCATATATGATTGCCAACACATTAAAGCAAAACATACGCGAAGCACATGATTACGACAAAAAAAAATAGTCTGTAATAAGATTAATTTAAATCAATTAAATTAATATAATGAATAAGAGCTATTTAGAGGATTTGGTTGAGTTGCTTTATATCGAATTAACGCAGGCGAATGTTTTCTTTCGTTTTTTGTGGGAGTTGAATTATTTAATCTATTTTTGGTACCTATTAGCACTAACTTTAGAAGTACTTAATTTTCAATTATTTATCAAAAGTAATAGAAACAATGAATAGATATGTTTCAAATATCTACAAATTACAAAACATCTCTATGAACGTTTAATACATTTATTGTAGCTATTGCGATTCAGGCGACACCAGTTTGCAGAGATACATGAAAGTCTCCGGAACTACGATCATAACTTCTTATATGTTTGGTTTATACTTTATCTACTACGTCTTTGGGGTACCATTCGATCGATTATGGCTTTGACAGGAGTGGATAAACAAAGTCCTGGTGATGAAATATCCAACGTGTTCATGCATATGCAGGCAATAGGTGATCCAGCTCAAGCTTTCTGCAATTTTATCTTAGTCTGTATCCTTGACAAACCTGTTAGGTTAGTTCTGTTTGGCGACTGCGGTAGGGAACCTAACCGTGATAATGGAGACTCAATTCAAGGTGATTACAATTATATACCCGCAGACTCTGTTGACAAAGGTTCAGTCAATGAATACAGTCGACGTTACGGTAGTATGGACAGGAGAGACAGGATCAATTGATGAAGCACTTTATTTGATTTTAAATGGTTTTTTTAAATCATGAAATTAACTAACATTTCATATGATAAAAACATCATACTATAAGAAAAGGTTTGTTTGAGAAAAACTACAGAATTTTGCTCGCAGATTCTACAAATTAGAACGAGACAAGAATATACTAACGAGTTTTTAAAACCAAACAAAGCTTTATTCTTGAATATTCATATATGACCTTGACCTCTCGATTTAATACAAATATTCAATTTTTGATTCAATAGCCAAACGAATAAAACAATAATGTTAATTCTTTCTAACGCAACATACATAGCAAAATCTTGAAATCATTTTGAAATCATTTTGAGTTCTGTAATTTTATTTTTAATGTTGATATTTTAAAATATGTCACCTTTAAGTGGTTATACTAAAAGAAGGAAGTACGAGGAATCATGCAGTGCGGTTCTATTTAAACAGGCAGTATTATATGTTTAATATTGGTCAACATTCTATATATAAAAAGTATAATGTTTGAATTTCTGTCAAAACAATGTTGATTTATGTTTGTTAAATATGTCATTGGAATCAATACATTACGTTCCAATCAAAATAAGTAAAAATGTTTTTGGTAATATTGCAATATTAATGAATAAAATAAAATTAAAATAATAAATCATGATGGCATTGTAACTGGGCTTCATGTAGTCAAATAAGAAAAAAAGGCGTCATGCTAATATGACAGTCTGTATAGCATAAACCCGTTCACTTCTTATATAAGCCGAATAACTGATTAATTTTGTACCAATTTTATGTCAACCTTCTTTATCATACATCATTATCTTATCTTATACTATACATTGTCACCTTTGATTACAGACGCATATTATCTTTATAAATATCATAAAATATTTAGCGTCTTCTTTTTATTATATGATTGTACATAATAAGGTAACATTCATCATAGTTTTGTAATGTTTATCTAAATTATGCCACTATGATATTACGAAAGTGCGAGTATTAAGCGCTGTACATGGATGTAGATCTAACTTTCCATCAAATAAACAGCATTTGCAATAAAAGCAAACTCAACAAAACTAATTTGAAAAACTAAGTAAAAATAGCATACTAGAATACCTTATTGAGACATTTAAAGCATGAAACAAAAAGCAATTTAGACACATCGAAGGATCTGATATTCCATTAGAAGAGTCCACCCGAACAAGGAGTACTATTCATACCTATGGATAGGGCAAAAACAATAAAAAAAAATAATATCTGAAGCATGTGTCATTCATTTGGCTCACTTGTTATATTCAGAAGTTAAATATCTACAACTGAAATACGAAATACGAAATGCATCACGAATAATTTGTCACGTATTGAACTGTGGTTGATCTTATGACGTCATTTGGTAAGATTTGGTACATCCTGAAAAGTTATATTTTGTTGTTATAAGAGAATTTTGAATTGCATCTATATTACTAATTATTTCATTTAACTAGTTCATAGTACATTTTTACTGTGTCATTATAGATCTAAAATACTTTTCTAGCCAAGGAATCTTGTTATCTTAATCAATAACTTGCTAACTTGTCTGGAAAAGTATATATTCCCAAAAGGATTGATTCCATCATTCTCTGGTCTCGTATATTTCAGTCTAACAACATGCATAGTGAACCATATTGTCACTGCGTTCGTGAAGAAACGTGCCAATAGGTTTTGCTTTTAGCTATTTTATCAAGAAGACTAGTCCCCGGTAAGAAAGTCATCTTTGGTATATAAATATTATACACCCTGATTTAGTAAAAATCATGTTGTAGGATTTTTGGATAAAGATTTTAACAATAAACGTCCGTAAACATTCGGGCAACCAATTTTCATATTAGTTATCATAAAAAATTTGGTTGAGTGTACTTTTTTGCAGTTTTGTTGTGTGTACTTTTTTGCAGTATTTTCTTCGAATGATCAATCTTTAAATACCAGGTGTCTTTTTTCTTCTTGTTATTTTGTCATGACTATTTTGATATTCCACCGATTGTATGAATACTAGTTTACTTGTACCTGTAAATTTCTCTTCCAACTGGAAACAATCCGTTGGAAAAAAGATTCATGAAAGTTTCTCGAATTCAAAACAGGCACCCAACGATTGGTATTAAACATCAAAGCTTTACAAAGTAAAGGAACTGGATGTTCGGAACATGTATGCGTCTTATCGAATTTACCCCACTGATTGGTACATAGACAAAATTTTATTTTATCTCAATAGCATAATATGGTTTAGGCTAAGTTTGTATCCTCATCCTTATGATTTATTTACATCACTTAAAAATAGAGTGAACAGTAGAATTACAAAACTGAGAATAAACCTTGGATACATTTGTTTTAATGAAGTAATATTTGAATAATTTATACGTACAGTGTAGAATAGAATAGTTAGATATCTATCATTTGTGGTACGTGAAAGTGTTCACTTCGCCACTGAACAAGACATCAAGCTATACATATGCTTTCTAGATGAACGCCAAACTTTTTGACCGAGTATGGCATCAGAGCTTTCAATATAGACTACATGAAACAGGCATCGATAGCACTTCGTTTCTTATCTTTGAAGAAATGTATAGGTAAATTTCAAGTACCGTCAGAAATAAAGGTTACGTATCCAATCCGATTTCAATGCGCCAAAGCACACGTCAAGGCAGAAAAAGCTCGCAGTTATTATATTTGTACTTCATAAATGGACTAATCAAAGAGCTTGAGACTTGTTGAGCTGGTTTTTGTATGTACAGTATGAACATCTGTGCACCGACGGTAGCACATGACATGATACCTGTTGCTTTCTCTAAACGATGACTTGAACATAATTATGTTAACTATATGCAGTGAATGTTCATGTTAAACGCGCTACGATTACAATTCAGAAAAGTCCAGGGTCATTGTGTTTAACAGTAGTTACAAGCGCCCAGCGGTTGGTGTGGACATTAGGGTCACATTACTTGAATGAAGTTGACGAATACAAACACCTTGAGATTACTTGTGATAAAAAATTATCTGCAAAGAAATTCAAACAAGAAGCGTGTTCAAAACTTAGAAGAAACTACTTAAGAATTGTGAACAGTGGTCTACACCCGGAAGGTCTAAATCTGTAAATAATGGGGGTTTCCTCCAGATGTATACAGAATTTCTTCTGAAAATCAACCTATATCTTGTGTTACAAACGTACACCTCGACCAGAAGATTTCCATCTAAATGTCATAACCAGATGTGTTTCGATGCCTGCTAAATATGAAATACTTAACGCCCTTTTGGAACTTCGACCATCAGCTCCAGAGTTCCTTCCAAATGTCAAGAATCCATGTTTTTTCTCGTGAAATATATTCATAAGAGAAGCGGCTTTGGATTATGTCCCTTGTATCGGTCGTCGAGAACTTAGTCTCTAGACAATACACTCAGAGTTGGTCATTGTGCAACGTCATGTGCTTCAATATCCTTGACCATTTCTAAACTTTTGTTATGAGGTGATAGATATCCGATTATCACTTTGTGCCTACATGTTTGAAACTATGGGGATAAATGCGTATGCAGAATGAATAATGTGTGCTTGAGAAAGACAGACTGATTAGCTTATAGCGTTGGCGTTTAATCAATCGATTTGCCGTCAGTACACACCCATAAAGATGCTCCATAACATATTTAGAAATACATTTACCCGATTTTATGTGTTATAGTTTGGAACTGTGTAATGTATATTTACGAACTTATTTGTTGGTATTTAATGCTATACTAGTATACTAACTTTAAAAGGTTATATGTACATGATTTCTACAATATTGTATTAGCGTTTTTATCAAAGTGTCAAATACCTTATGTCATTTCAGAAGCCTATACTTTTTTTCGATTCGACCAGCATAGGCTATCGTTTAATGTGGCAGACCTGATAGCATAAAATGTGCTTAACATAGACCAAGTTCTTAGAGTAATTTCGTTTGCGGCTTTGAGATATTGAATCTATATAAGGCATAATATTTTATTTTAAATGAAATACACAAATCTATTTGCAAAAATCGTAAACAGTTATTTAAAGTTAAAATGCAATAACCAAGTAGCAGTAATAGTAATATTTCTATACTAGCATTAATATATATTGTTCAATTCTCTTGAATGATGTCTTATTGACTCTAATATGACAATGTATATTGTACATTTGTTCTTTACTTGTATACTAAAAAGATACATCAAATTTCCAAACTTGACTCTTCATGCTAAGAGAAATTAAAGCATATTGTGTTCAATTTCGATAATAAATTACTGTTAAATATCCAACACAAAGCTATTTGCACTAATTACCATTTTAAATTTATTGTTAATTACAATTGTTAAACAAATTTTCTAATTATACGCTTAAAGTTCAACTATGATTTATATGCATTCTTATGTGGAGAGTAACTTTATGGAATTCAAACATCTAATAGCTTATGCTCATAATATTACAATTGCATGTATTTTTACTAGAACGGTCGTTGGGTCTATTATTAGGAATTCTGAATGTGGTTTATGTACGCTGTATATTATGTCAATAGCTTTATACTTATTTGTTTCCATGTATACATGTTGTACTCTTCAAATTTGGAGGAATAATATAATCTATCTATATTGATCATACAAGACATGCGAGTTTGCGAAAGATGAGAGCATAATCGGAGATTTTTTCCATGATTTCAGTATTATTTCATCGAATCTCTTAATGGAAGACAAAGAAAAGTAAAATATCTCTAAAGTCACCATTTCATTAACATTTCATTGAAGTAGACGTCAATGCTCCATGAGGACTGAAAAATAGAATTGTTATAGCTACATTCACTCACTTAAGGTTTTACCATACTAATGCATTACCTCCGCTTTGAAAGTATTCAAATAGGCTAGTACAACTGTTAACTTCATTGAAAATGAGGGCCGTGTGTTCAATCCCCAGAAGGGTCAACTTTTTTTTCTTTCTTTTTCTTTTAACATTATTTATGTATCTCTCATGTCCCATTTGGAAAGAAAAAAGTGTTTAATTTTGATTTTTTAATTTATATAGGTATTTATTGCCTAAATTATGCTAAATCTAGTAATAAATATGGTACCTGATATTTTCAAAGTGTAATAAAATCAAAACCAGACGGTAAAAGTATATCATATTTTACAAGATCAACCAATATACTTCTTTAAAAATTTAGGGAAACTTTGAAAACAGGCACTCATTTGGGTAAATTTTAAGGATTTTTTAAATTAGGCTCCCTAAGTAGAAAAATGGTCAGACACGTGGTAAAAATGGGTGGGATAGGGTAACATTTTTTATACAGATTTCATAAAATTTAGGTAGAAACCATAATTTTGCTTATGTGGATTGTTAGCTGAATGGTACTATTTGTTTCTTACCAAAATTAATGGGAAAACATTTTTCATTAGAATGTTACTGCAGATTATTTAAAGGTTCCTCGTTTCTAAAAAGGGCCCTCAAAACATCCTAGCTTGAGTTCAGAAAAGTGGCCATAACTTGATTTCTGTACGGTAAACTTTGTTTAAATTTTGCATACAGGTGAACTTAAAGGTATATATCTGACCTATAATGTCAATTTTCTAGGTAATTATAGTGCCCATTAGGGTGGTAATACCTTAATACCAACACTTTCAGTGTAAAGGAAAGAATTTCAAAAAAATGCAAAAACAAACCCATAATCTATTACAAATGGTGTAAAAATACGGTAACAAAAATAGTATGTTATTATATATCGGATCATAAATATAAGTGTCAATCTGATTATGAATATTTCAATAAGTTTGAAATTTCGAAAATAAGTTTACTCATCTGAAGGCATGTACTCGTAGTTTGATTTTTTTTAAAGGATCAACGTCATAAATCCACGCAGTTGAAAATTTCAAAAGTAGTATCCGATCATTACAAAACAAAATGCAAAAAAGTGTTCTTTATATATTGATATCACGACTGAAACAAAAATATTTACGTAAAAAGATATTTATCTTCAATCATAACATTAATATTATGTCTAAATACCATGCAAGTTCGATAGATAACTATGTTCGTAAGGCAATATAATCTACTTTTAATTTGAGTTGTTTCCCTTGAAATTAAAACTGTGCATATTGTACATTGCAACTTTCATTTCCGAATCAGGAAGAACATTTTAATGCAGTCAGTGATAATTCACTATTACCGAAACATTAATTGTTTAGCATTTGATAATAATTATTTCTCTCTTATTGTTTAAGTAGTCCTTAATCTGTACTGTATCAGATTTATTTTTAACATATCAGCTCAACATGCGTGTTTTGGGTATATTTGTTATGAATTATATCAAGTCCGCTAAATCATATCAACTAGATATTGGTTGCCAAGGTGATATTATTTGATACTATCATTTTGCACCATCTTTCTGTACGGGAAAATACGAGATGTGTAGTATTGTATTTCAAATGTGTACAAACGTTTTGTTCCTTTTTTATTTCAAAGTTGATTCGATATAACTCTTACGTGTAGATATCGTTAATATAACGAGGAAGTTTATTTGTTAATTTTATACCGCTGAATAAAGAACTGTAAAGAAAAAGAAAAAAGAAATTGACAAACCGCAAAAATGAGCAACAAGACTACTACACCGGTTGCGTATGAAGATCCGGTGTTGTATTTTTCCGTAGTCAGTAGTAGTCTTTCTATATTAGGATCGTTTGCTATATTTGGATCATATTTTCTGATACCGGAAATACAGCTACACGGAAGCTTGTCACGTGCCTTACTGTTGCAGACTTCATATCAGCAGTCGGTAATTATATGGTTTCTTATGTTTATCGGTATACAAATTTAGAAAATTTACATAATATTATTATACAAAACAATTTTGATAAGTTTGAACATTGCTTGTTAAACATAGGATGTATGGCAACATTGTACTTGCCAGTTACTAGGGTCATAGAAACTTTGCGTAATTACATCCCTGCGACTTTCGAATTACTTAACTTTAATTCGAAAATATAAAAAGCAAGATAAACAATGAAGGATGGCATTCAATGGAGCATCCCCAAACACGACACAGCAACACAGGAACACCCGACGAACACACAAATAAAATCAAGACAAGTAATAAAATTGGAATCGTTCTGATGAAATTAAAAATAAATTTTGAAAGGAGCATATAAATTCAAAAACGTTGCAAAGCATTATACACATACAATTTAAAATATAAAATATAATTCGGTTTGATCAAGAAAATCAAAATTTTTAGTCAACCTCTTGCACATACTTACGTTTTTTAAAAACATTTTTCAAGGATAAATAATAATAATATTTGGAGAAATATCTTTTGAATTTTCAGGGTACCTCGTATCAGGTATAGCGCACTTTGCAAATGTTCAGGACAGTGTGTGCACTATTCAAAGCGGCATCACAACATACTCGAGTATTGTTTCCTTTTATCTTACCGTTGCCATAGCAATTCATATATTTGTCGCCGTGGTATACAGAAATAATAGCACGTCATCGTGGCAGTATATCCTATGCGCTAATGTGGTCAGTTGGATTTTTCCAGGTAATGAATATATATCAAGAATGTTTTGATAGAGGCAATTACTAAATGTTTAATTTTAACAGTAAATACAATGCCGAATGTCCATGAAAACATATCGCACAAATACCATGAAAAACACAGCATATGAGTATAAATCATATGGCTATTATAAATAAAAATCAAAGTGCTGCCAATACATACAGGCAAGGATACATTAGCACATTTCAGTACTGCTAAGGTAAAAAAAGTTCAATATTGTGATGTAAACACAAATCATTAAGTCAAGAAAGCACCTATACTTTGTTATATGTAAACACATATCATAAAGTCAAGAAAGCACCTATACTTTGTAATATGTGCCTCTTCGGCATTGATGCCTAATAAGATGCCTTATGGCAGAGAAAGTACATGTTATCAAACGGACAAGAAAACACATAGACACAACTTAATACAAAGATTGTCATTCACTGTTTTTTTTTTTTTTTTTTTTTTTTACGGTGGCACAAATGTGACATATGTGTGTTTTTATTTAACTCGTGCGCACGGCATACTATGTCGTGGCCACGAGTTACTAAGTCGTGGTCACGAGAAAGCTAAGTCGTGGCCACAAGATACTATGTTGTGGCCACGAGTTACTAAGTCGTGGCCACGAGATAGCTAAGTCTATAAACCTTTAAGCGTTTTGTACCACTATAGAATATGCATATTTATGTAGTTGGACAAGGCTTAATTCAGTTGTTAGCTCAAATTTTCTTATTTTTAGTGCAGGACAAATTCATCCAAAAAAAATCTTCATCAGGCAAAAGGCTAATTTCTACAGGTAACATTTAAGTACAATATAATTATATACATGTATTACTGTACAGGTATTATAACAGTGGTTGCTAGGGCAAAAAACGTGCTTGGGAGAGACGGTCACTCAAGCGTAAACACGGGTCCTTGGTGTTGGATATCACATGCAAAACATGACTACGTCTTCTGGATATTTATGGCGGGAAAGGGATGGGAGTTTTTATGTTACCTGATAACTACTTCTCTTTATGTCCTGTCGCAATTTTACAGGGTAAGTAGATAACTTTCATGTACAATATGCTCATAGTATTAAGTCAGGTATTAGTACACATTTGCATGGCTGAATCCACAGGGGTAAGACGCTTAAATTTGATCTGATATTATCCCCTACCTGACCCCCTTCCCTCCAGTCCCTGTTACAAAAAAAACAAGAATATTGATCAACAAGGCAAAGGCAACGTTCAAAGGACGCAGCCCCCCGACACACCCAAGTCGGGCATTCATAATTCAAAAAAAATATCTGGAGGGAAGGGGGTCAGGTGGGGGATTATATCAGATCAAATTTAAGCGTCTTATTCCTGTGGCTGAATCATTGAACAGTTTGAAGCAACATTTTTAAGCTTTTATTTAAAAAAAGGTAAATTTGCTAAAAGAAAATGACTCGTTTCTTGTTCGCCTATCCTCTTAACCATACATGTAGAGTAAACTTCACTTATAGCGAACACGGTTACAGCGAACTTGCGGTTATAGGGAACAATTTATTTTGGCCCGAATTTTGCCCTTCTTTATTTAATATAAAAATATATGGTATAACGAACACGGTTATAAGGAATTATCGCTTATAAGGAACTCATTTCTAAGTCCCAATTTAGTTAATACTACAGAAAATTACACTTTTATAACGAACTCCAAAATATTGGCTATTCGTAAATAGATCCCGCATTTTCAACTTTCGTTTTCATTCGCACGGAATAAAACTCGGGGGAATGTACCGTTTATCGTTGTATGTACTTCAATACATCTATTCAAATGAATTTGTATAGTTTTCTATTTAGGATATTTGTAGCATGAGCTCTTTTCACCAAGATAAAACGGTTATTTATTTATTTTCTTCAATAGTTTTGCTCGAGTAAAATAATTAAAATAGTTTATAATCGGTTTTCAACATAATCACGCATGCTTGCAAGCATGATCCATTGCAAACTGCAAAGTACGCTTGATTTAACTGAAAAGAAATCTATATCTTACATTAGAAAAGTCACCCTTATATTATAATAGAAGATATTCAATATTAAAGGAAGGAAAAATCGAAAATCTTGTTTATTCGCAATCATGGAAAGAAAACGAAAAGAGTTTAGAAAGAAAATATTATATTTTATGTGAAATTGAAATAGGGAGTGAAACTAAAACTGAAATAGCGATGATTTTCAAATTCCAAAAAGTACGCTCTCGGGTATTGTGTCTAAACTATAAACAAATGACTAATATTTCTATTTCTTAATCAAAGCTCTTCAAAATTGACGGACAATGGTAAACAATCAGTTCGTTATATGTAAATCTGTTCGCTATAAAAACTCCTGATACAAGAAACTAATTCGCTATATGCTTACAAGGAACTCGGGATATAAGGAACAGGTTTTGAATGTCCCAGTGAGTTCGTTATTAGCAGAGTTTACTGTAGTATGATTATTCTGTTTTGGCATTTTGAACATTTTAATGATTAAGCATATTTATCCTTGTCTGAAAATCGTGCTTATTGGTCAAAGGCGGTGTTAATCTTTGATATACATCTGAAAGTTTGTTTTGTTGTTCAAAACCGGTGTTATTCTGTGATTTCTGCAAGTCTTGCTCCTTGTTCATAGGCGGTGTTATACTTTGAAATAATGTCTGTAAATCTTACGCATTGCTCAAAGGTGGTTTTATTCTCTGCTATTTGTCTCTTTGTTTGCTCATTGTTCATAGTCGGTGTAATTATCTACCGGTAATATGTTTTGTTTCAAATTTTGCACTTTGGTCATAGGCGATGTTACTCATCGATATATGTCTTGGTTATTGTTCATAGGCGCTGTCTGCTATTTGTCTGCAAATCTTGCACATTGATCGAAAGCGGTGTTATTCTTTGACCTTTGGCTGTAAGTCTTGCTCATTGTACACAGGTGATCTTACTTTTTGGTATGTATCTGTAAAATATGATAAACAAGATCAACAAGAAAAGGCGGCCTTCAATGAACGCAACCCCCATGTGAACCAGCAACAAGAACCAATGGCAAGGAGCCCAGGCGGACCCCAAACAAAAACAGGACAGGGCAAAGACAGAGCACGGACAGGTTAATCATTAAATGATAAATAATTTGTAACTGATTAGGAATTCAAAGAAAATAATAATAGACCCGCAAAGGGGAAGGGGACAGGAGACAAGAAATAAAAACTAGAGGCAATGGGGAAGACACTTACCGTAGACGAGAAAACAACAAGGGACACAAGTAAAAGTGTCACCAAAACAGTATGAAACAACATAGACATACATCTGAGGAACACAGTGGGCGCCGCCTTGGAACGGTCAGCAGCATAATAATGACTGCTTGGGAGTTTAAACCGGTTAATGGTGCACCAAACCTCGCTCTTATCCCCACCATGTTCCTATAAACGAGACAGTGTAAATAAAATGAATCCCCGCCAAGTGAAATTCTAACAGTTGTGATGGTCACAAAAGGTTAAATAAGTAAAACACTAAAATGATCATGTAGAAACATATAAAAGTAAACCCAATGACCATAACAAAAGTACTCAATGTCCTAGAAGACAGAGCAAGTCTTGCGCATTGTTCGTTGACGGTTTTGTTCTTTGATATTTTGTCTGAAAATCGTGCGCATTGTTATAATGCCGTGTTTTTCTTTGATATTTGCGTATCGTTCATAGGCGGTGTTATTCTTTCATATTTGTCTGTTAAATAGAAAAAAAAACAGAATTAAAGATATCCCACGCTCGGTTCAATTGCGTTTGTTCATGGACGGTACGGGAAAATGCAAGTTACCGTCCACACTTCCTAGGCAACAGATGCGTGCTTACGGCGGTGATCAAGAAACCTACAATGTGACGCGTTAGTGCCAATTCTATTTGAAAAAGCCAACGTTATGCCCAAGTTTTAAAAATACAACGTTGCCCTTTGCTACAAAATAAATTGAGCAAACTTTAAACAAAACGAAAATTTGAAAGGGGATCTGGAATTATGAAGCCTGCATATCACAGATAAGCTTCAACAGACAAATTTAAAAAGCTGGCAACATGTTATAGAAAGAGCATCGAAACACGAGGCTATCTAATTTGTACGAGGGGGCGTAGCCCACGAGTATTAATCAGATTGCCGAGTGTTTTGATGTACTTGTAATAGAAAGAGCACCGAAACACGAGGCTATCTGATTTGTACGAGGGGGCGTAGCCCCCGAGTATTAATCAGATTGCCGAGTGTTTTGGTGTTCTTTCTCTTTTGTATCATAGTCAAACATAAAAGCACGTTCCCTGTAGTCACAATATGAAACCCCGGCAAAAATGAACCAATGAACGAACATCTGAATATGACATTTCTGTCGCTTTCCCTTTCTCTGCCGTCACAATATGTAAACCCAAGCAAAAATGAGCCAATCAATGGGCATGCTCTGGAGTGCGGGTAACTTATACCCGCACTCCAGTTAACGCACTGTGCATGTATATGTATACGATTTAACCCTGACACATTTTCAACAGAAAGGTCTCCAAACTATGATACAATCTCTTTTGTATCATAGTCAAACATAAAAACACGTTCCCCTGTTGTCACAATATGAAACCCCGGGCAAAGTAACCAATGAATGAGCATCTGAATATGATATCTCTGTCGCTTCCCTTTCTCTTCCGTCACAATAAGTAAACCCCAGCAAAAATGAGCCAATCAATGGGCATGCTCTGGAGTGCGGGTAACTAATACCTGCACTCCAGTTAACGCACTGTGCATGTATATGTATATGATTTAACTCTGACACATCTTCAACAGAAAGGTCCCCAAACTATGATACAAATCTTTATTATATCATAGGGTAATTAAACAAAATTCATGTAAAGAATACTGGAACCACCCATCTAGAAAAAGGACTAGGAATTAACTAAATCTATGACAAACACAACAATAAATCATCAAAGATAGGAAATTTAACATTTGACATTTGAATGTACGGGACGACTTTTTACGGCCTCAAACAATGCTGATGTGGCGATTAAATAGAAATAGAATACCTTGAGAATGTCCAAAACGACAAAATGTTTCCGGCTCGGTTTGACTTAGCCTTTAAGTCTTTCTCATAATTCAAAGGCGGTGTTCCTCGTTGATATTTTGCACTGCTTTGAGGGTTGTTATGGTTTTGATAGCAAAGGAGATTCATTATTGGACAAACAAATTAAGATATTAAGTAACAAAAAACCTTTACTTTGTTAAATACAGAGCACAATGTGTTCGGAATATACCCTCTAAAAGCACTGGAATTTTATATATTTTTCTCAATTTAGTAGAAGAACTACTGTTAGATTTACAAGAGTTTGTCTGATTGTCAAACGTTGTAATGCATTGATATTGTACACTGTATTATAATGATGTAGATCTCCTTCATATTGTTAATAAAGTAGACTTTTGTCTGTAGTTTCACCTTATGTTGACATTATTTCGCTTATGCTATTTCTGATTTCAATAATACAAGTTCAGCCTTTTCTACCTTGTATGGTTGGTTGATATATTTTATGCTACATGTTATATGTTTAAAAGCAGTGCATATATATATGTCATACTGCATGACCCTTAAAGGGACTCCACTGAGGTTTTCGAGATAAATATTCCATCTGATTAAGGGTTAGACCAGTAACTAGTGTTCAAAATTCAAGATCATCCGCGCATTCCGTTTCCCCTGAATAATTATTTTAACTGTGACAAATGACCCAAAATTGAAAAGTATTACAACGCTTTTGACTCAAATCGAGCTAGTTGAGCTACGAATAGCACAAAATACGATTTTTAATGCATTTCCTAGCTTATTTCCTAATTTTCTTTTGAATATTTTTCTGTTTTAAATGCTCCAGCTAATTTATGAAAGAAATTCAAGTTTTAGGCCTTTGGACCTAAGTGGATTTCCTTTAATTGGCTCAATATATAATCTCAGATAATATATTTATCATAATATCAAACAGCTGTTTCTTTGTTTTCAGTACTTAAAATACAGACGGTGGACATTTAGGGAAATACATGAAAATTTACGTGTTGAAGACAAAAATTATCTTTATGTGTGGTTTTTGCTTTATATACTCCGAATATGGGGATCCATACGCTCCATGATGAATATAGGTCACGTGGACTCAGAGATGCCAGGATCAATGATCTCACATGTATTGATGTACCTGCAAGCGCTTGGTGATCCTGGTCAGGCGTTTTGTAATGCTGTACTATTTTGTTTGCTGGATGAGACGGTGAGAGAATATATTGTTGAAATGCTACAGAAATGTTGCAGAAATCCACGAAATCTTAGTACTAACGGGGAGCGAGCTAGACTAGTTCCAGCTCTTGGAAATAACATTCTTGCAAACCACAGCTACATTGCAACAGACGAAATGACTGACTTATCTCCCATATCTCGATATAAGTCTACAAAAGCTTCTAGATCATTTGGCAAGTACAATAGAGTGAACGTTTCGGTTGTCTAAAATAGCGTTTTTCGTGCGTGCGTTTTTCGTATATCGTGCGTGCGTAAATCGTGCAACGTGCGTTTGTTGAAACGCTTTCTCAACCGTGCATCGTTTACAAGCTATTAACGTTTACCGTATTTCGTGTATCGTTTTTCGTGGTTTAAAAGCGTGTGTTTGTTATCTCCAGAAACGTTTTGCGTGCGTTTGTGTTCGTTTTATAATTACTTTTGATTAAAATCAGATGAGACATTTATTGGTATTTTCATTATTTATGTATGTATAGTGAAAACTTTATTAATACATTGTACTATTTCTATATTTTTGTACAAATAAAAATAGCTAGCCTTTTTTTGTTAGATAAGAAAATTCTATGGTGGCTAATATGTGCCATGTTGCACTTTTGCTTCCCTAGGCACCAGGCGAAAACTATAAACTTGAAAATACGACTAAGAAGTTTTGTTGTATTTTTGCCCGGCGCTTATGGCATTTTGTCTTTTTTCCATGTCTTCGTATAAATAACGATATACATGTATATAACAAAAAATTTATATTTTAATCCGGTCCGATACATCCCATGCATAAGTATAACGAGTCTAAAAGTTTGGTCCAAAGTGTCCAATGTATCTGATTTAACGTGTCTGGTAGGAAATGTCCATTGTCCGGAATGTCCCATTTCCAACTCAACCACCATAAAATTTAGTGCACAAATTTATTCAGAGTGCAAGCAAACACCTACTCTATTAGGAATCTGTATTGGGATTGACTCTGTCTGAGAACTGGATGTTGAAACCGTCCATAACATACATATAAATAAGACATAAATAAAATCATTAAGAAAAGCTGTCCCAAAGTTAGACATGGTAATCACAACAGACAGGCTAAGCCAGCTCAGACTCGGTTTAAACCTAAATTAATATTCAGAGTCATGACCCGAAATACCCTAGTGCATGGTGTAATATGACTCTTATCACCTATATTTGATTTCTTTTTTATTAAATTTTTAGATTTGTGACCGGTTTTCAAGCATCATGACTTAAATTAAGCATAAATAATATTTTAAATCCCCCTAAATACCCAGTATTTTATAATTTTAATTAAATAGAGTCCTGAAGATATTTATAATGAAATCTTAAGCTCTTTTACACTGCCCCAGTAAATGCCACGGTATCGCTACGGCGTCTTAAACCGGTGAACCGAGGGGTTCCGTGGTGTTTTTCCGAAAAATCAAATTGCGTGTACACATCCCCCACAGAGCCTAGGTGTATTCCCGGTTCAGTAGCCGATAAAGCACCTGATGTATGGGGTACGTCCGATGCTTACCGTTTGATCCCGGTGGAGACCCGACTAGACACAGATTAGTCACGGTCAATCTCAACCATCGCAGATTTCGCCACGGTTAAGCCTCGGGTGATACCCGTACTGTCCTTGTGACGCCCCAGTAATGCTTCAAGTTTATGAGAATCAAACTGCCTGACCACGTTGACATCAGTCTTTTGGTAACAGACAGCAGAGATGCCACCCTATAAGGAAAAGTGGGCAAAGTTTGTAAAACTATGCTTACACGCCTTCAGAGGTTGAGGTACCTTTGGAAACGATTAAAGGAAGGACAGTGAGGAGAAGAAATAGCAGAATGGCCCTTCTTTGTCTTCACTTAACAAAATTATCCAAAGTAGCACTTCGTGTGTATATACACCTGTTCTTTAAATTGCCTGTTATCGACATGAGGTCACGACACCGCCGTTGTATAGCCGCGACTTGCCGGCAATGTGCGTGACATGCCCGGGACAATCGGAGCGTTGTCGCTAATTACCGCAATGTACCCTGTCTCATCATAGCTCTCCCTGTTTATACTGTGGCGACATCATGTCATCACCGGGGCTCCGCCATGTTTTGACATTGATTTACACTCATCCCGGTTTACTTGGGTTTGTTACAGTATGGATGCGGTATAGATACGGTGATTGCACGGTGTCTCCCGGTGCCCAGCCGATAGAACACGGTTCTGTGCTTCCTTCCCGATGAGTGCCATTAGGCCACAGTTGTATTAAACACTTTAATACAATGGTGGCGATCTCCCGCGTTTGTCCCGGTTCACACAGGTTTGTCCTGGTACTTCACAGAATCGCTTCATATCTACACCGGTTAACCATGGTTGATCCTGGTGGACTAAACCGTGGCAAACCGCGACGCCAAATTCCTAGCCACACCGGCTAATTCAAAACATATTCTTTTTTTAAAGTGACAAAAAGCTAAGTTCCAGACTAGAGAAAGTTATTTCTGATTTTGAATTATTTAAATTACATATAATTAAAATAGAAACAATAGCTAGATAGGACTTATTGTTGTGTATACATGTGGTACTTTTAGTTTCTTCAATTTGGCCTTTTTTCAACTTGGGTGGTTCCAGTATTCCTACTTGAATACTGTATAATGACCCTTATGATATGTTGCCTGCTTTTTAAATTTGTCTTTTGACGTCTTGTCTGTGATACGCAGGCTCCATAACCTCAGATTCCCTTTCAAAATTCCATTTTATTTAGTTCCGCCCATTGTTTTCTCGTTAAGGGCACACGCATTCTTTTACTTGGGGACCATACGCCGCCTTTCATGGAATGGCACTATTGTGTCACATTGAAGGTTCCATGATAATCGCCGTATGAACACATCTGCGGATGTCTCTAAATTCAAAATTTCATCATTTGTCGTGTTTAAATGTTGAATTCTGCTTAAGCCGGTGCAAGGGGGCGTGGACGGTAATTTGCACTTTCCAGTCCGTCCATGAACAGGCTCAATCAAACCGAGCCTGCAACATGGCTTTCTTTAGGGATTCTGTATTTCTCTATTTGGTTGCCCAAGATAATAAGCAGACCTGTACTTAAGAATAGACAAAGTCAATGTATTATCATTTTAATTATCATATAAACCATGTGTAAACTGAAACTCTGTAAATACATGTATGTTATGCAGTCTCATCATATATATATATATATATATTATATATATATATATATATATATATATATATATATATATATATATATATATTATATATATATATATATAACATTAAAAATAACCATTATCTGTTAAACATATAGGAATCCAATTAACATTAGTACTTGGATGGAATTCTAAATCTAGCAGAAATTGAAAAACTATATTATATATAGTACAACAGTCAAAATGTTTCTCAAATAAGCTATATCTTATAATAATGGAGTGGTATGCATATCTTTTATAAAGAAACAAATACTGTCCCTCTTTCAATCTTTCACCAGACCTAAAATACTCTTTTATAAGAACTGACTTTAATTTACAGACTGTAAATACATAGTGTTTAAAATTGATAATTAACTTTATTGCACCCAGTGATTGGAGGATTATCCTGTAGCAGGATACTTTAGGTATTGACTAACTGAAATCCACTCTAAAGTATATACAGCCAGTCACAAAAAAATATTCATTATTCCATTCTACTTATTAATTCTGTATAGCCTGAAAAGCAGACTGCCAATAACCTAATTGTTTTTAAACAGCTAAAATAGTCTGTCTAAGATAGACAGAAAAGAACAAACAATATGGTAAAACAAAAGTTGCTTCCCTTTAAACTACAGAAAAACTGAAACCAAACAAGAATGTGCAAACAACAAAATTATAAAATGTTTAAGGCTCAGCTTGATCAAGTCATGGAAGGTAATGTCAAAATTCTATCAAATGTTTTATATTTTGTTATAAATTCATGGATGTTTCTGATATAATTTACTTTTAATGATTGGTCATTATCAAATAATGTTTTAATTTCTGCATATTTATTATTTCTATGCCCATGGAATTAATTGTTATATATATACTCATGAAAAAAATGTGTAGTTCAATATAGCAGGGACGTCACAGTATAATCAGTTCAAACCTTATAGCTCAGTTGGAAGAGCTGCGGAATGATATTGAAAGTGTCCCAGTCTCCCAGGTTTGAGCCCCAGCCAGGCTGCACAGTTACTTTTGGGAACCAATAGAGGGCCACAACTGTATATAACTTCAAGACAATTCATTTTGTCAGTTTGTCAATGATTCAGGGAGATATTAACAATAAAGTGGGGGACTATGTTAATGTATAGCGCAGATCAAATATTAGGAGAAAAATGATTAAGCAGAAGGTATGGTATTCAAAGGGTTCTGGGTTCATACGGTAGTGTTGATGAGGCATGGTATTCTGAGGGTCTTTGTTTTGAGTCTCAGTCAGGCTGCATATTTTTCTCTGTGATTAATAAATATTTCCAGCTAATTATTTGCTTGACTGTTTAATGAATATATTTTCAGTCAATATTGTGAAATATTTGATTATTGTATAGTAATGGGATTTTATATTTTATAAGACATTGTATCGGTACTAAATTTGACTTCTTTTGAATGAGGGGGGAAAGTTTGCATAGACATGTGTGGACCTAGGCTGGAACCCTCAAATAATTGTCTCCTCACCAGTGAGTTTTATTTAGGATAGCCTGAAAGTATTTACATTATTATGATACCACAGGGGTATTTTCCTCTACTGGGTGTAATCAGAAACTATATGGAGTTCTCCTTGGTGACATTTAAAGCAACAACCTGGTCATAGGATTGGGTGGCCTGTAAGACACGGTGGCCTGTACCAAGACATGAACCGATTGATCAAGACAGTGTTGTCTGTATTTTGCGGCAGGACAGACAGAGGTGTTCAGATCCACTTTCAGTAAGGAAGTGTTCCCTACCCTGTCCCTGCACTTATACTACAGAAATTTAATTGGAGTAGAGGTCCTGGGACCATTACTGGCATGGTATATGGAATCACAAAAAGATACTGTAAAACTGATTTATTCAATTCTCAGTGTTGTTATATTTTTCTGGTCCTTTGGGATCATTGATGTGGGCACTATAAAGTGTTGAAAATTGAGTACCGCTCAAGCCGACGCTAGGGGGCGTGAAGGATGTTGCACCTATTCATTATCCCTCATGTACAGACCTAATCAAACCGAGTCTGCAATTCTTATGTAATTTTGTTGTGATTAATGCTTCCGAGGGATCACTTTTAGCAATATCTGATTTTTCTAAGTTCATTGTTTTTTTTTCTAAACAAAGTTTCATATATTTGTTTTTCCATACAACGCTGCATTTATTTGCAGATGTTTATAGTAAAGTCACAGTTCAGATCTGTTCACTTTTGAGGGGAGAAGCTCAAGTCCCAGTCAGGCTGCACTTTTTTCTCACCCTTTGGCATTTGATTCCCAACAGATAGTAATAAAACAATGTGAAATTGTCCTTGGAGTTTCATACCATCACCTATTCCAAATGGGACACTGATGTCTAAGTCCTATTTAACATTGTTCACTGTCCCCATTCAAGGACGATTTTCAATAAAGCAGGGGAATATGTAATGGTTCCGAACTGTTCACTATTAAGGGAGATTATGTGTAAGCAGCTTAATACAATATAGTTCAGTCGGTTAAGCCGTATAATAGTATTCCGAGGGTCCCAGGTTCAAATCCTGGTAAGGCAGCACCTTTTTTTTTAACTGATAACAGTAACATAAAAAGGAAGGTATTAGGCATTTAATGTTGCTTAGTAATAATATAGCATATTAAAACATATTAAGTGCATATAATGTCAATAAATTTCAATTTCAACTGCTATAAAAATATTTTCTGATGCGCCGCTCTTTTGGTAAATCCATATACTTTACAGTTTACACATGATTCACAAATTCTTGGAGTCCGACACTCCTTCCCTCCTGGCACTTATGGAGGTGCATGAGGTTGACAGATTGAAAAAAAAAATCTACATTTTCCTCATTTTTTCTCACTTTTCGGGGCCACAGTAAAAGTTTATTCTTAATATTATACTCTTATTCATTGAATTTCATAATGCTTTTGTGGACACATTATCGATGTAATTGTAACCTAGTAAAAATTACACACTTATAAATAAAGGTTTTATTAAAACCCCAGTGTTAATAATGATTAAAATAAATTAGCTTAATTAAAAAATGTTCTCACTTCTAATTGTTCTTATCTCTTCTATAAAAACATATTCTAATCGATGTCTTTTATGGTACAATGTATTTAATTTTTTGATAACAAAAAAAGGAATAAATATATACATGCAGATTTATACATGTAGCTGATAATTCTTTCAGAACTCATATAAAATAACATATTAATAATTATTTTCCCGGGGAAATTTCATTATATTTATGACCAAAAAATCTTCTTTATATCAATCATTGATATATCATCATGAATATAATTGTTTGCAAGTATGTGTTATATTATAAATAATATAACCCATAATGCATGGTATTTATTTTATATATTTATCAAATTTAAAAAAGTTGCCGAAAAGACCAGGGTTTTGAGGCCGAAACGTCAAGGACGTGTAAAGTCCTAATTTAGCCCTTGTCTTGAAAATATGTTGGGCTGCCGGTCTGCAATGTAATATTTTGTGCCATATTACTATTGCAATAAATAAAAACCATATAGCTTAGATTAGTAAATGTACTACAAAGACCAGTGTATGGAAGAGAATTTAAAGTATACTATGTAATAGATGCTGACAATGTCTCTCCCGTGATTGCAAGTGTAATACATACACGAAGTATTTCTTATTATTATATATTTGAATGTAGAATCTCTCATAAAGTAAATAACTTGTAAATTAAATATATAATCAATGGTAACCATTAATAATGAAAAAAAAGAAATACTTGCAGTCACGTTATCTTGCTATGTAATTAGTTATTTACTGATGCATACATGTAATTGTATATATCATGAATGCTTGTACATGACTCTTTTGAGAGTTAATTTGCAAAATAAAGATTTTATGTTTTCCTTTTGTTTAAAAATGTCAAATTAATTTTGTTCGCTACAATGTAAATGACTTGATAATTTGATCGTTGATTTGCTAAAGTTTTTACCATTCTTTATATTTTGTTTACGCCAGAAGCGATGTTGACGTAATTACTGTCTATCTAAGAGATTCCTGGGCTAAATCAAAGTTTTTTTTTTCAGAAATGCGCATAAAGACGAACCCGTTAAATTATTTTTTTAACATTCGCGCATGATAGCTTATAATTTCAAAAATCATTTGTTGAAGCTGCACGACAAAAATAATTTTGTGCCAGGTTAGGTGCATTACAGCTCTAACATAAACTCGTTTAAAATACTTGATTGTCAAGCTATCATTTAATAAAATCGCTAAACGATCTAGCTAATGAAGTTGTTGAAAATTTATATGATAAGGATATTTTATTAAACGTTTAGAAACGTTTTTATTTTGCGTGCGTTTTAGCGTGCGTATATCGTTTAGCGTATTTCGTTTAGCGTTAATCGTTTTGCGTGCGTCTGCGTATTTCGTTTGGTAAAGCGTGCGTGTAACGTTCGTTCGTATAGCGTGTAACGTGCGTGCGTTTTTTCCAGAGCGTGCGTGTTGCGTGTAAACTGAAACGTTCACCCTACTGTACTCCAGCATAAGCTCCGACAAAAAGAACAGTTTTTCTCTTGAGCAAACAGCTCAAGTTATATAACATGAATTCATTGCAAACTGTTTACTAACATGCTTTCTGACAAGAACTGTGGCCTGTATGATTTAAATGTAATGTTGATATGTGAAAACAATCAGTGTAATAACATGTCTGATCCGAAAGATGATTTATTAGTTGATATGATATGGTATTTGCACTGTTTATTTCTATGTGAACTAATTATGTTTTGGACTAAAACACGCAGTTAACATGACCTCAATATGCACAAATGAAATCCTGAAATGTATGCTTAAATACTAACGTAACAAACAAATGCACATACAATCTTCAATTAAAAGAATATAAATAAAAAAAACACTTATGTTCTGTGTAATGACGTTTACTTAACAGCAAGACGAACAGACAATTTAACATCATGAAGGCTACATTTAAATAATG